TTTCACACAAAGAGCTGTATATTTTCCACATCCATACAATTAACTTTCTATGCAGATTAGCAAATACCTGGAGTTATGAAAGATCCTATTTGTTCCTCAAAAACAAAGAAAAAAAAACCACTAAAACCCTTCTACCTAACAGTTTTGAAGACTTATCTGATTACTAGACTCTGTTCCTTATGCAACTACTTATTAGCTCGATGAGTATTTCTAGACTAAGAAAAACAGAAATTTGAGCAATAGTAAAAGCTTTGTACAATAGAAAATGTATTCTTTCCCTAGTTTTCTTAATTAGTTCCTTTGCAAATCTGCAGTGGTAGACAGAAGAGCTGATTACAATTCCAGGCTGAGTGGAGACTGGAGTAACTTACTAGCCACAAGGCACTAGAGAACTGTTGCAGATGCCCCTCTGAAGGGAGCTGATCCCTGGCTCAAACTGAGTTTGCTCACATTGACCAGTTTTCCAGAATATTAACTTTGTCTGAATGCACTGGGCAGATGATAGCAGGGGAGATAAAAGCCCCAGCCTCCTCTCTAGTGCAGCACACAAGACCTAACCATCAAAGCACCTACATTGCATTACCAGTACCTGGCTTGTTCTTGTCTTCCCAGCAGAAGATACCTTATTATTTTTTAGTACAGCTGAAGCATACACGATACCAATGCTTTGGAGCATCTGGAGTTTTAGGTAACTTTTGTTTTAGTCTGAAAAGCTGACAGTATCTTTAGGCCCATTCTTTGGGAGTAATCAGCATGACATCACTGACAAGGCATAGACATTCCTCCTTCTGCAAGAGAATCAGAATCCCAAAAACCAACACCTTCAAAATTTGCAATTGTGCTTGAGAGATTGAAACATAAATTTACATTAAAATTTCACATGGTGCATACACTGTAGAAATTCTGTAGGTGAAGGTAACTCTTTCTGTGTAAGTCATAATGCATGCAAATCTTTCTGAGAAGTCTAATACAGAGGATACTACTGGAACAATACTCTTTGCTCAAATACAAATGTGCTGACAAACAATTTATTTTTAATGGCCTTCTGCTCATGTTGCTCTCCCTTACACAGTCTGAGTTCTCAATGGTTACTAGAAAAAGTTTTAGACAATAACCCAACAAAACCTGCTATTTCTAGCATATGGCTAAGTCAAATCACCAGGTCAGACCTTTACTTCTTAGGAGATCCATGATTCCCAGATAACATCAGATCTACAGGTGCATCAGTATTTAAATACAATGGATAATGATGTCTGTCAAAGATCTCCTTAATTTGTTTAACTCTTAAGTGTGAGAAGCAAATGCGCCAATTAAGAACAAAGATCATGAAAGTCATTGGATAAATCTAATATTCTCGAGGTTAACAGATCCTTCTAGAACCTTGACAGTAATGTTACCCTACAGAATAGCTAAAATAAACTAACAACAACATAAGCAAGTTTTCCAAGTCCTCACTCTTCACTGCCAGAATATAAAACATAACCGTATGTAAAGCTTCCCTGCGGATACTAAGGCTACTTGGGAAGTCTAGACATTGACAACACATGACAAATTCCACTGTGAAATTATGCTTGTTTTTTAAGAATACTTCAAACACCACGGTGGCACAAACAGGTACATCTCAACAGGGAAACACGCAAAAGGTAGACCTGAACAAGTGGAAAAGCAAGGACAGCCAGCTTCTGCTTACACTTTCAGGCATATCTTAGCAAGACACACGAGCATTGAGAGTTCTTACACAGGAATATCCATTTGCTTTTACTCACATATCTGTGTATTACCCAGGACTGTCACTCCTGGCATACAAGTTCTGCAGAACACACTCACAGCTCCCTTTACATCAACAGGATTGCTTTACAGCAAAGTACTACCCACAGCTTCAGAACTGGTTCCCTCCAATGTTGTCCCTCCACTACTGTTAAATACAATCCCATGTGATAAACAACTGATACAATTCCCAGCTTTTCTTTTTACAGGATTTATGGGTAGGAACACACATAACATTCCTTGGCTGTAATACCCACTCTCTCATTACATGTTTTTCAGCCAGGGCCCTCTGGTCATCCAACTTCCCTTCTTCAGGTACCCTATTTACTGCTCCCACAACTCAAAATTCTCCAAGATGCCAATGAAAGAAAATTTTCCAGGTTAAGAGCTGCACAATAAGACTTTATGTTGTTCCAATTTAATTAAACAGAAACTGAGTCCAAGAATTACACTCAAAGTAAATCTCATGCTCAAAATATTCTCATTTCAAAAAGCTTTATTAGGAAAAGAAAAAACAAGTGGGTATATGTATGCATGTGGTAAAGTCTATAAGGGATAGACATTTGCAGGTTATTATGCTAAGTTTCAAGAATTCAGCTGAATCAAGCTAGGGATTAGTCTTCTCTATTCCCAGGAGTTCCCTGACGAGAACAGAAATGATTGATTTTTCTCCTAAAGTGCATGATTTAAAAAAAAACTTATCTCTCAAAACCAAGCAAAGACAGTTGTTCGATCACATCTCACCTACTGCTGCATGCCAAGGAGCAGAAGTGGGAGGGAAAAGTCACACAGGGACTGCACAAAGGGGGAAGTGTATCAATATTTAAAAGCTCTAAGCTCAACTTGGATCTTGTAAAAAGTCATTTTTAGTATTAATAGATTTCAAAGGTGGAATATATTAAATATAATGCTACAGAATTTCAGTGTGAGAACCTTCAATTTTAGGCTCAGTTGAACAGAAGTCAAAATTTCTGTTAGAGGTGTAACACAATAAATATTACTGTGGAGATCCCATACTGAAAAATTGGCAAAAAAGTACTTAAAGACACCTTAGAGTGAAACAACCAGAGGTAATTATTAACAAAACATAGGTTTTGTATTCAAACATCTATAAAATCCAATTCTACATTAAAAATGGCAGTAAGAGTATTTTAGAGAAAACCCATAGACTTAATGTAGACGGAACGCAAGATTAATACAAAGCATTTCTGATGTACCTGTTCAGAAGCTCCACAAGTTTGTATTATTCTTTAGAAAAAATACAAGTTATCTGAGCTAAAGTATCAGCCACCTTCAATATTCATGAGGTATCATGCGATAACATTTTCTTGACTTGAAAGGCCAGCAACTACATAAGGGGTTTCTTTTCTCATCTGACATGCCATGGTTCTCCATTTCCTTTTTTGCTTTTCCTTCCACAGAACCATAGAAAAGTTAAGAGTTGAAATGGACCTTAGAGATAATCTCACTTCAACCCCCCTGCCATGGGCAGGGACACATTCCAGTTCACCAGGTTGCTTAAAGCCCCATCCAGTCCAGTCCTGAACATCTCCAGGGATAGGGAGTCCATAGCCTCTCTGGGCAACCTGTTCCAGTGTCTCACCACCCTCACAGCAAAGAATTCAATGCTAACATCTCATCTAAACCTGCCCTCTTGCACCTTAAGGCCATTCCCCCTTGTCCTATCACTACATGCCCTTGTAAACAGTCGCTCTCCAGCTCCCCTGTCAAGGATTTTGGATATTGGATACACTGCAAAGTGCTATAAGGTCTCTCTAAATCCTTCTCTTCTTCAGGCTGAACAGCCCCAAATCTCTCAGCCTGTCTTCTTAGCAGAGGTGCTTCAGACCTCTGGTCAACTTAGTGGCTCTCCTCTGGACTCATTCCAAGAGGTCCACGTGTTTCTTGCACTGGGAGCCCCAGAGCTGAACACAGCACTCCAGATCAGGTCTCATGAGAGCAGGGTAGAGGGGGAAAACCATCTCCCTCAACCTGCTAGCTGTGATGCTTTGGATGCAGCCCAGGATGCCTTTGGCTTTCTTGGCTGTGAGTGCACATTGCTGGGTCATATGGAGCTTTTTGTCCAAACAGCCACAAGTCTTTTTACTCAGGGCTGCTCTCAATCCATTCTCCTCCCAGCCTGGACTTGAGCTTGAGACTGCCCCACACCAAGTTTAGCACCTTGCATTTGGCCTTGTTGAACTTAATGAAATTCACACCTCTCACACCTGTCCAGATCCCTCTGGATGGCATCCCTTCCCTCCAGTGTGCTGACTGCACCACACAGAGCTTGGTGTCACAGGCAAACATGCTGGGGGTGCCAGTTCAGGGTCTGAAAGCTTCCACTAGTTTTTATGTTTGCTGACAAATTTCCAATACTGTTTACAGCTGGATTCTGTAACCAATGTTTTCTACACACAAAGTTCTTGGAATCACATCAAGGTAACTGGAAAATAACACTTAGCTGGTGATAATTTTGGCACAGTAGTAATACCCTCTTCAACCAGATTTACAGATGGCCAGTAACTCCTCTAGCACTTCAAGACACAGGCTTTGCATCTCCCACCCAATCCCAACCTACCAAGTCTAAATGCAAATGTCAGATGCTGCCAGATAGTTTAATCTGTTCTCCAAATACCTCTAATAGAAATCAGATATTGAAGTGATATCCAATACTGATATGGACATTGAAACATTTAAAATGAAAAGAAACCTCCTGGGAAGATTCACGTACAAATATATGATTTTGCTATTTAATTTTGGCATATGTATGCAAAGCATGGCAACCATTTGCAGAACATTTTTTTTTTTAGATCTCACAAGCTGCTGTATATAGACAAGCTCACAATGCAGGTGTGGTTAGAGCTGTTCCATGCAATACTGAAGCTAGAGAAAAACAAAAACAAGTTTTCTTCAGATGTTATTCCTACAGCTATACCTTAAATTTAACTATATTCCTGATGGCACGCTGCAGATTTTTCCATTTTGCAGCAGAATCAAACCCATGCACCTAAGAAGTTGCTCATTCTGAGACTTCAGATTGATTTGCACAGTTTGTGGCTGAAGACCTCTGGAGTACACTTTACACAATACACTTGTGTTTTAGCATGAACTGCTTGTCTTGTTACCCCTAAGGGTAAGCAAGAAAAATTTAATGTGAAAGCCTGAAAACTTTCCATCTTGTTAGCAACACCTCCCTCTGTCAAGAACTACATCAGAATTTGCTTACTTACATCTAGTGAATCTTCATTGACCAGGATGAGAGACATACTCTGCGAAATGAGTCTGCAAGAGTACCCTGCAAGAGGGGAAAAAAAAAGACAATAAAACACAAAGACTTACTTTTTGGAAGGATATTTAAGGTTCAAGTTCAACCTTAAGATAAGCATCTACAGGTCAAATGACAATTTATTTTTTGAGCAGTTACTCCTATCAGGCAGACTGCTGGAAACTTTGCTGTATAGGACACACTCCAACATGACAGATTTACTAGAAACATGGGCTGCACTCTATCCGCATTTTCAAATAAATCACTTGAGATGTTTTAATTAAAGAAAACACTGTATGAACTGGATGCAGTAAGTATAGCCTATAGCCCCACATCAATTTTTTTCTCCCAAGTCTACAAGAAGGCAGGTTTGCCTTCAGCACATCACAGGAACAGATCCGAATGCACGGTTGCATCTACGCCAGATGACTGGAAGCGCACACATGTTTTCAGTTGATGCTACTCAGCTTCCTTAGCCCACACAAAGTTTATATGAGCGTTTTTTACTCCTGAGTGTTCAGTATGGAAGGTTCTGAGCTTCATCATCAAGAAGTACAGATCAATCACACTCACAGAGCCCATACCGACTCCTATAGACAAAAGGTAACAGGACTACATTATTCTTAGTGTGGGACTGGGACATGAAAAAACGAGAGCACCCAGAAGGCAATTCTGTACATCGCCCAGCACACCAAAATCCAAAACAAAAACTCTCAAGACAGAAGAAAATCTCTTATTTTTATAGAAGTTTAATCACTCACAAAATAAACAGGTTAATTCTGCTCATATTAACAGCAAGAGACAACTGCCAACTTGCATCAGAGTGACCCCACTACGTTATCCTAAAAGCTCATGCAAGTTCACTTGGGATTGGCATAGTGATAGCTTCATAAAATAGCAGAGAATTAATTTATTTGAAGCATACATCTTTTATTGCTCATCTAAGCTACATGGGAAAAGGAAATTCAATACAAGTATTTTTTACTTCTATTTTTTTTTATAGAAATGAATTACAGCAGTTTAAAAAAATGCTATCAAATAAAATGGGGTCTTGGGAAGTCTCTTACTTTTCTTAAATGGAGACTGGAGGGGATTGCAGTATAAGAGTAATGTCCCAGTGAAGAACCGCTGCAAGGCTGACAGATTCAAAAGCTGAACACCACAGTCACCATAAAAAGATGAAGTGCCTCTTTCCATATCTTGCAACAGCAAGAGAACAACTGAGGCACAAAATCATCTGTGGGATTCTTGGCTCCTTAGAAAGGCCATAGTGGGTCATCAATTGCAATGCAAATCATTTCCTCAGGCTACAGAGTTTTTATAATTGGGCTAGTTTTGTAGGTATAACCCAGGGTTAACATGTCTGCATGTGTGACTTCTGTAAAGAAAGTAAATCCCTCTCCTTTCCTTTGAGGAAGACATGCTTGTATCATAGCCAGGCACTCTCAGGCAGCAGGTTTGATTACCTGCAGAAGTTCAGTTTCTCCTCAATTTTCACAGTTGTGTAGACTATGAATATCAAGTGCAACCTTACTAATACATGTTAACAAGCCTAGGTTTAATTTCTGCTTCAGAGAACAATACAGTACAACACTGAACCCACACCTGTTGGGAAAAGGATAAAATATATTCTAGTGATGCGCAGCCTACAACATGAAAGCTTTGCAGACAGCCTCTGATTCTGCCAGTGATCAAATCTTAGACAGTAGTAGAAAACCTCCAACAGTTACAGGGAAAACACTGACTTTTTTCTCAAGTTGGTTTGCCATTTTTAAAAGTTAGTTTCAGGCTAAAAAATGCTTCCTTATTTTTACTGAGAAAAAGAGAATATTACAAATTTACGTACTTCCCTCCATAACAAGGTTGTTCTTTCCCTAGGCTAAAGCAGTCTTGTGCAGTAGGCTGTTACAAATTCAGCATAACCAATTCAAAAGGATTTTCTAGTAGCATTTGATTAGAACAGCAGCTGCAACAGTGACCTGTAATTTCTAAACCACTGCTCACTGCTTCACTTTACCTCTTCCAAAATGAGCAAGACACCATTCTAGAAGTCAAGCTGGAAGAAAAAAGAAAAAAAACAAACTGTGGAAAACAGTTGCTCTGCTGTGCATCTTGGAAACCAGGGACTTAGAACAACTTATCCTGCAACTGAAACTATTTTGCATCACCGTCTCATTAAACAGAAAGATCAAGATTAGAATAGGAGAACCTAAGTCAACCCTAACAAGAGTTTATAGGGGATCTATATATCATGTACAATTTCAGGACTAAGATGATGTTAAAATCTAGCAAAGTAGCTGGCAACTGTAGGAGTCCAAGTAGTAACTTTAAAGTATTACTAGAAATGTCTGAAGTTTTATAATGGTTTTATAATAGTTATTACTGACAACAACAGCACGGGAAGCAAAAATGCACTTGAAGATAAGTATTTTGTCAATGCTTCTGAGTAAAAGAAGATCAACTGCTGGTTCAAAGCCAGGTATAAAATGTCAACCCACATCTGTAAGTTGATATCTAGCTCTTTAATTTAAAAGTCCAACTAAAAGTCCATGAAGCAGATGAATCAGGTGCTTCTGGGACTTATTTTCCTTTAAGTGTCCTGGGAGAAAGATTACTTGAACTAGAGTTCAAGATCATAGCCCACAGGCACATTCACACTGCAGGCATACAAATCCAGCATCTGATGGAAGACTGATTACCCTCTGTGTTTAGAGAGGGCACAAATGCCCTGTTCAAACTTTGCATAGTGATACAGGCAAGTGTGCTGGCATGGCTTGTCTCCTGCACTGAAACAAAGCACAGCTCACCAAGAAGTGTTCTTATCTCCGAGCTGGAAAGACAGGGGTCTGATGGATGTATTGTTAGATGGGTAGGGAACCAGCTGGATGCCTGCATCCAGAGAATTACAGTCAATGTTCCACACTTGCACAAAAACTAGTAATGACCAGTGGCCCTCAGGCCAGTCCTGAGACTGGTCCTTTGCTGTCTACACCAGGGACAGATGGGGATCAAGTACACCCTCAGCAAGCCTTGATAGAACATGAAGCTGAACAGCGCACCTAAATAACACTGGAGAGAAGTGATGCCAGCCAGAGGGACTTGGATCTGCTTGAGGAGCAGGCCTGTGAGAATCTAATCAAGTTCCACAGGGCCAAGTGCAAGGTCCTCCACCAGTACTGCAACAATCAAAAATATCCATCAGGACAGACTGAAAGCAACCCTACTGAGAAGCACCTAAGTGATGAAAGGTTGAATGACTCCACCTGGAATATCATATCCAGCCCTAGGGCCCCCAGCACAAAAGAGATGTGAACCTGTTAGAGTACAAAAGAGGGTCACAAAAGCAATCAGAGGGCTGAACATCTCTCATCTGAAAACAGCCTGAGAGTTGGGGCGGGAGAAAAGAAGGTTCTGGAGAGACCTTTCAATATACAAGCGGGAATTACAATAAAGAATGAGAAAGACTTTTTACCAAGGCCTGTAGTGGCAGGTCAAGAGCAGTAATTTCAAACTGGAAGAGGGTAGGTTTAGAGTGGACATAAGGAAGACATTTATTATGATGGGAGGTAGCAAGACTGGAACAGGCTGCCCAGAGAAATTATGGATGCTCCGTCCCTGGAAGTGTTCAAGGCCAGGCTGGATGGAGCTTTAAGCAACCTGATTTATGAATGATGTCCCTGTCAGGAAGGGAGCAGGAGGACTGTATATTCAAAAGGTCATTTTCAAGCTCAAACCCAAACAACTGTAAGGCAGTGCTTGCAGGCAGCTATCAATGTCCTAGGTAAGAGCATTCAGCTTACCTATAGGGACTGATTCATGTTGCGGGAGGGACACACTTGCGTTAACACTATACTCCCACTCCCAGAAAACAAATCTCTTCCTAGGGAAGTTACTGTCTGGAAATACAGCAGTTCTGGTGTTCTGTTGAGCTCAAGGATGATGGCAAATAGAAATCTATTACGGGTGGTTTTGTCTCACTGAAAGGCAAAGATGATCCAGAGTCTGCAGACGGATGAAAAGGATGAAGCTGCACGAACACAGTTAAGCCTTCTAAAGTTGTTTGCAGGTCATGCTTAAAGATGCTTCTGTACCTGGAAGTCCCACAAGAGCTAGAGGTCAAATTACTGATCAGGATGAAAGCTTATCATGAACACTCTCCTCACTTGCAGAACTACTGACTAGCACCTGTCTGAATGAAAGGCATACAGCCACCCCACAGTAGGTCAACCATTACTCTCCAGAGAAGTCAAAAATGCAATCGAGAAACAAAGACATATGCAAATTCTGAAAACCAAAGAATCAAGAGGAAGATGGAAGAACAAAGTACTCCAGCTCCTTGACAGAGCTGCCAAGAGCTGAAATATCCCTCAATACACATGCACCTCCATACAGCAAGCAAGAGTCAATAAGCATAACCTCCAAACACAACGAGAAAGTGAAAATACTTTTTGCTCCCCAGAGAGCATATTTATACCTGAAACATCTAGTGCACACATGGACTGGGTTTTAAATTGAAGGTTTATTACAGTTTTATTGGATTACACGCAAAAACTGGAAGAGTGCCACATGTTTATACCTTCAAGCCAACTTGACCATGAAGCTAATTAAGTCAGAGTTTTACTACCAAAGTGCACCTTAAACTAAGGGATAACTTAGAAGTTTTAAGCGAGATTGTTATTCTTCTCAAGTTGCTATAATAAAAGAAACAAACTAACAGTTTTAGAGAAAGCTGGAAGTTAGTCTCCTTCACAGTCTTCAGAATAAGCTTATTTACTGGTGTTCAAGTAGCTGCTGTTGGTTAATATACCAACTTAATTCAGGCACTTACATCAAAATGTGTAGCTACATTTTTTTAACTAGTCAAAAGATGGCATTTCCCTTCTGAAGTTATCTATTGCTTGTAAAGTAAGGAAAATCTGCAAATTGTGATTTAAACCAGATAACTACCCTTTAAACAAGTTACTACCCTTTAAACCAGATAACTACCCTTTAAACAAGTAAACTACCTAGGCCATCCACTGTATTTCTACTACAGCTGTATCAGTTCAGCAAGTTATTCCACCTCTTGGTACCACCTTCAACATATGAATATACATGAAATCTAATTTGAAACACACAAAAATTCTAGTCAGTCAAGTAGATTGCATAATGAAATTTCACTGAGTCAACCAAAATAGAAGTTTAAAAAAACACAAGACAAGCCAGACCAAAAAAAAAAGTGGCAATGCCCAAAACTTTCCTGAAAATAATTTAAGTTCATTTACAGAGCATCATTGATAGAGAATCCTGAATGAGTTTGAGAAAGCAACCTATGTTGTTAAAGTTCCCTTTAACCTACACCTGCACATCTAAACAGACTAATCTGCAAATGTAAATGCAGTTGTGATACCCTAACAGCATATGTTGCCTTCTGCTAAAGGAGCTATTTATTCAGTCTTTTTGAGTTCATATTAACTTTAAGACTCCCTAATTACATGAATAATGCAACCAATTTTATGTTTAGAACTGCACACAGAAGGTCTGGGTGTATTTCAGGCTATTACTGGGAGAACTAAAATGCTCTTTCATTGAACTTTCTTAGGTGAGATGTCAGATCACAGGACTGCAACTCCATCTCTTCCCCTCTCTGGGCAGATTTATGAGTGATAGGGAGAAAAATTATCAAAAAGAACACAAGAGCATCATGGCATTCTGTTGCCAAAGATGGGACATTTGGGAGAGGTGGCATGACAAGGATATGTCCCTTTACCAAGTCCTTACTGTATACTAATAGATGTGCTGTAAGGGGACAGCAGGGTCAGTTATTTAAGCTTGAATAACCCACCTACACTCACAGACATGGTTTGGAAGATGCTGTAAACTATACATGCTTTGCATTATCGTATTTCCCATTGTATCCCAAACTTGATTTGAAGGCAGTAAGAAAAGAAAAAAAACAGCTCTAAAACTGTTTCTGAAACATTAGTCTGGTAGAGTTCTCCTGTTACCACCAGAAAGCAGAGTTACATACATTCATTCAATTAGAACTGCATTTAACCAAGAGCAGATCCCTTCTGCCTCAAAACAACAATAATAAAAAAAAATTTAGCCTGACACAAATAGTGAAGACTTCACTACAAAATCCCTTCTCCAACACTGTGCCCTGATGCCAAGGAACCATTCTATAACAGCAGGCCCAATTCTATTTAAAAACACACTCAGCACATCTTACATATGACCTGCTACACACCAGACAAATTCAGAGTAACGAGAATGATGGATACCTATATTGAGAGCTGTTTCCTGTTTGTCACCTGTCAGAATCCATATCTTAATTTCTGCTTTTATTAGTGTGGCTATTGTTTCTGGAACACCTGCTTGCAGGCGGTCTTCAATGGCCGTAGCTCCAAGAAGCAACAAATCCTGGAGAAAAAAAAAAAAGAAAATAAACCCTCAAATTCTTTTAAGATAAATCTCTGTTTGGCATATACTCAAAAAAGGAATTAAGACAGCATGTTGCATCTCACTGCTAATATTGCACTTTGGCAAGCATTATACACCGCAATAAGTTTGTAGGGTGGCTATTCTACTTCCTCTGCATACAATTCACATTTCAAGAGGTACAGAATAGAACAGAGTGTTTTTAATCAGAAAGATGGCAACATTTCAAGAATAATTGATTGAAGTTATAAAAACCAAAGTTAGCCTATAGATGAACATGTATACTAGACCATTCACTAATCACCATAGCAACATGATGAGTAGTCAGTTTATATATTTAAACCCACAAAACAAAAATTTGGCATCACATCATTTAAACTAATTTCCGCCTACAAAATGTACATACAGACTGGATACAATCACTCAAAGCAAAAATTATTGCAACTATTTATGGATCTAATCATTACATTTGTGTAATACAAGTGGTATGAACATTAATCAATCCAAGTATCTCTAATCAACATACAGATGTCTGCCAGAAATACATATCTCAGAAATACATATCTCATACAGTACATTTAATACTACAGAGTTATCTGTATTCCCAGGCAATTCTAAAACAATTGCTTGAGGAGATTTGGCTACATTACAGTAAAAAAAAAAAAAAAAAAAAAAAAAAAAACAGGCAAAAAATACCTAAGAAATAAACCTTGTCAAAAGGTACAGCCTACTCAGATTTTACCTCTAAAGGTATTTTAATTATTCTTTACATATGCAAAGATGCTCAACTTAAAACAAATTGATAATAAATTTAGGTATACCATATCATTTTAGAAATTGCACAGAAAAAGGTAGCATTCTCTATTCTTTGTAGGGACTAAAATTATTCAACAGAAGTGAAGACAAAGGAACAGGAGTACAAGTTGCTGTTGTTCAGCCTGGGAATGATGAGGCTTCAGCGTGATCTTACCATAAAGACCTTTCTATATAAAAAGTGGACTCACAAGAAAAATTAATGAAGACTGTTTACCAAGGCCAGCAGTGGCAGAACAAGGGGTGATGGTTTTAAACTGACAGAGGGTGTATTTAGTCCAGGCATAAAGAAGTGACTTGTTTATGATGGGAGTGGTAGGACACTGGAACAGGTTTGCCCTCAGAAGTGGTGGAGCCATCCCTGGAAGTGGTCCAGGCTAGGCTGGATTGAGATTTGAGTATCATGATCTAGTGAAAGGCATCCCCATCCATGGTTGGGAGGCAGGGGTACAAGGAAATGAGCTTGAAAGGCCCCTTCCAACCCAAACCTTTCCATGATTCCATGGAGAGGGGGCTTTAAAAGCAGCTCCTACTGGAATGCATCTAAGTGGAATTCCACATAGTGTGTAAGCTGACATTAGTTACATGCCTTGACAAAGTTTCCTTTTTGCTATGAGAGATTCAGCTGGCAAAGGTGGCAGAAGTGACTCATGCAAGTCACTAAGCCTCTCAATGACTCATCAGCTCTCTCAATGCTAGCAACATTTGAAGGTTACAAACATAATCCAAGTGCACAATTGCAGATGGTCTTTTTTCCCCAAAATCACTTGTTAAGAAGTTACACGTGACAGCACAGGGATCAGCATGGCTGAGCTACCTGAGAAGGGGAGCTACCACTGCACCTGCTGAAGCCCTCTGAGCCAGCATATGGCTTCAGAAGGAAGTTAGTTCAATTTTGTCTCCACATGTGCACCTCTACTGTGATCCAGCAATCTCAGCACTCAGACTGAAAAAGTAGTTCTCTTGGTCTCATTTGAGTCCTTAGATGAAAAAACACCAGTCTGCAGAAATACATTATATTTTGTGTTACAGTCAAATGCCAGTTTATCTCTAAGGCCTGCTTCTTGGCATGACCAGCGAACATTAACAGTAAGGCATACAGTGGATAGCTCCTAACTCCAACTCTACAAGCCACTCATGGGTTCCTCCTTTTTTCTTAAACAAGATCGTAAATTGTAAAAAAAGCAGAAAGTGGATGACCAAAAATGACCTAAAGCTTGAAAACACATTTTGAAGTACAGCAAAAGCCATGTTCATTTTTCACCTCGGTGAAAACAGACGAGTGTGAGAGCAGGGTGAAAGCAGCAGAAAGCTAAAAGTAGCTACCCAAACCTACAGAACCAAGGATGAGATAACCACACTGTTACTAACACATGATAAACACAAAAGACCACTTGAGGCATTAGTTGGAAAACAAAGACCCAATCTTCAGCTCTTACTGAAAGAGTTCCTGGAGCTTTTTTCTTACCCCCTGAAAGTTAGCTCCTATACTAGTCCCAACCTCCTTGAGGATGCCCTATCCCTGGAAGTATTCAAGGCCAGGTTGGATGAAGCTCTAGAAACCTGGCCTGGTGAAAGGTATCCCCAGCCACAGCAGGGGGATTGGAAGTCAATGATTTTTATGGTTCCCTCCAAACCAGGCCATTCTATAATTCTACAATTTGCCCCAACTAACTTAAAAAAAAACAACAGTGCTCCAGAACCTAAGCAGTATTTCAATATTAATTTTAAAAAAATATTGCAGTTCCAAATATGTTTTAAAGAAACCACTATATAAAATTAAATACCTGGGGCAAGAGGGAAGAGCATGAACCTGTGCAGGTGAGGAATGCAACTACCAGCACTTCTGAAAGCAGCAAGACCAACAAGGCTCAGAGAAACACTGGCCCCTAGCGTCGGCATTTTAGCATTTCATTCACTGTAGGATTAGCATTTCAAATGGGTTCTCCAATACCTACTTTCCCCTTCTAAAATTAGGAGTTCTGCAATTTGCATGGAATGCAGGTTTTCATCCTTTTTTTAGTTCACATCTCTATAAGGTTTTGGTGAGCCCTACATTGTGCCTGCAACAGCCTTCAAAAACCTTGAATTTGACTGCTGCATGAAAAGGAAAACATCTCTTTGTACCCTAGTACATGGGAACTTGGTGCAACACAACAGTCTACATATATCATCTTCATCAAGTTACCACAACCTTACACAAAACAGGAAGATGTAAAAAGTGTGAGAAAAGGGGTTTTAAGTAGAATTTTTTTTTATCTGTAAATTTATCTCAGATTTATAGATTAAAACTGTGGACTGAACATGTTACCATCTACTTACCTTTCCAGTTTCTCATCTATGAAATTAACAGTTTATTTCATTGTACAAAGCCCAAATTCCACTGGAAAACACACATGTAAGGTAATCTGCATCTGATCATCAAGAAAGTAAGTTTTACCTTTTCAATGATCTCATAGCACTCCTCCAGCTTCTGAGTTCTGTCTTTCAGAACCGTACTGGATTCATTGTAGACATTCAACCACTCTCTGTAAGACGTCTCTGACAGATCAGCATAAGCAATGCACAACGTCCTCAGACCTGCCAAACAGAAGGCAGCCATTACCCAGAGTAAAATTACATTGAATATAATCAAATCATTCACATGCAATGAATGGTAAATTCTAACCCTCATGCTGGAACAACAAAAGCTTCTAACACACATTGTTAAAAAATCTCCCTCTACACTTTTTAAGCACTTGGATTTCCACAAATGTAAACTACAAATCTGGTTCATTCTGGCCACTGATGTTGGTGCAGATCAAGAGAGCATTGGACAAAAACTTTTTGCTAAGTATGAAAGCAACCTTGCCTTTCATGTACTTTTAAAAACATCATATTAAAGAACAGGCTGTGTGCTGTGATTGGTGATATTACTTAGTCAAACATCCTCCACAGTTTGTGCTTCCTTTTAGCAAGAAGACTGTGTTCCCCTTCAGTGCACCAATGTAACTCACACAAATAATGGGAGTTACACATGCACAATATAGTGAAGAGGGTCCACGAAGTATGAAAACCAATTTATTAGACCACTGGCAAAAATTAACATAGAGAAGTAACAATTCTTTTTTCTGTCACAAATCAATCAAAAAGGAGTGTGTGCCATAAAATACAAGAAGTTCCAGTACTGGGAATTTTTGGGAGTCTGCAAAAACATAGTTTTTTAAAAAGCTGACTGGTATTTTCAGATTTTGGAAGAAATACACTGGTTCATGGTTTTACTATAAGTCAGGTATCCTATGCTATCACAGAAGAGGGAACAAAGCCAGCTTCTCAGTGAACAGAGGTGTTACACCAGTCAAAGGCCTTACAGAACATTTCAGATCATCTTTGATGTCTCAGTCTACCAAGCTTCCCAGCACATTGAGGTTATCACTCTGCTTCATAAAAAGATGCTGGTATCCAACTTCTACCCTGGTAAAAACACCTCCAACTCCAATGTAATCGAGTTATTCTGGGCAATACAGCTCATGCCCTTTCCCTTCATCATGGACACACAGAACACTGTCTTTTCCTTCCAAATTCCACTTCCCTACTGAAATCACACAGAAGTTGGACAAAAACCTCCTTACAGCTGAAGTCAACCTACAGTTGTTAATTTGCTGATAACACACCCCATCTTTATCTTCACAATCATCTTAGTTGACACCACAGAGCTTAGACAATGCAGAAGATGCTGCAAACAATTTAATGAATTCTCATGGCATGCTGTTTCTCTTACCTTCTGTTGCGAAGTATTCAAGATGGCACAGTGTTTGTTCCATATACTGGGAATCTTTTGAAAGCCTCTCAAAAATTACATTATCCTAGTAAAACCAAATTCATGACAACAGAGTAAGTCTACATATGAAGTTGCCATTTGTGTATTTACAAGCTCAAGAGAAGCAACCTGAATGGACTTGCTAATATCAAAAACAAAACTGTATTTACAATATATTTGGGGTTTAGAGACTGATTTGAGTCATCTGGATTGTGCCCAATGGCAGAGATACTGCATCCACTACAAATAGTGAGGAGAGAAGCACACTCTGCCCTCCTCCCTTCTTTCCATAAAGAGGTCCCCATTTCCCATAAAGAGGTACCCCAGGGGTACAGGACACTTCTCTATGAAATACCAAGACAATATATTGACTTTCAGACAACACAAATATCTGATCTTATTCAGTGTATAAATAACAGTCCTGTGCAGTAGACTTTGCTGCAATCCTTTCCAGAAAGGATTCCTTTTGATGTTTGAAAAAAAAGGCAGAAACACTGATCATGTTCTTCTACAACATTCTCTCAGAAACAACTTTCTTCCTGCAGCAGCTTTCTTTATCAGTAAATTAAAGGAAAATTGAAAAGGCCCCATTAACAGCTGAAATCAAAATATAGCATCACCTACATATCTAGAGTCTCTGGATTTTATTTGTAACTACCAGAACAAGTTTACAAACACATGTAATACAGAAACCCTACTCAGACATCTGCTCTTAAGCTAAGTAAGCAGACCTACATCTAGAGCTGATTAGAGACAGGTATACAAACCTAATTGTTATGGAAGCAACAAGCAGAGGATGACTACCAGAATGTGGAAGAGTTAATGCAAAATACTCAGTTAACTTACAGTAACATGAGTGGCAGATGCAGCACATTAGTACATCTAGGTCTGCTCATATGGAAAACAGCAAGAATTTGTACCACAAACTCTCCTGTTCTCCATCCCTTTCAGTGCCACGCTCCAAAGAATGGTGTGAACCCAGGCACGGCATGAACAAGCAAGTTTCAAGTCTGTGTGGTCCCATCAGGCATAGCACTGTGAACTACCAGACAATGGCAGTAGGCTTCATTCACTTCCACCACACCAGAATGAAGCCAGCACATCTTTGTCAAATCAGGGGAGGTAACTGGAAGCAACAGAGCAGTGAACACTGACCTATATGTCATGAAAAATTCAAGCAAACAGGATCCTCACAGAAGTCAGAACGAGTTTTTTCCCTGTTGCAAAAAGCCAGCTCCATAGTTTTCCACTGAAATTAGAACCACTCTCTTGCTGTGGACAATGCTAGTTTTGGAGCCTTTGTGCTGTGCTAAGTTATTGCTCTTGTCAGTGAAGACAAAAGCACAACATGGTGCAAGTCATGATGACAAATAACAGCAGGTGCAGAGATGTAAGAAAGCCAGATCAAGAGCCAACCACTTGAGAACAAATTTTAGTGTTATAAATTCAGACAACAGCATTTACTCCAGCTCCTGAACTTCTGCTGCACAGCTGGGTAAAGCCCAGGCATTGCAGTAAGGGGACTGCTCCCATGAGTTTCAGGATTTCAACTGGGCAGTAGAAAGCCTAGCAGTCTTCCAGCCTGCAAAAGGAGTCAGAGCAGGAATGACAGCTCTCTTAAATCACTAGGCCCTAAACAGAAAGCCAACAGGTATTATGTATGAGACATGAAATGCCAGCATCAGCCACAGCTGTTGAAACAATAACTGGCAGTGTTCTCCATTAGGCAGCATAATTACTTACAGCCCCTTTGCAGTAGAGACGTAGCTGTCCTGCCGGAGTTCGAACAATCACTGACATTCTCTTCCTGTTGCTATTGAAATAAAAATATTTGCTTTCATTAGTTAAAGTGGTAAAGACTAATTCCTATTCTAGCCAGCGGATTTTCTCAGATGCATTTCGTGCATCTGAGATTAAATGGGGTATAGCACCAGTAACTTAAGATCCCACAACCCTTGACCACAAGGAGATATATTAAATTGCCTATTTCCAGCTTCAGCCCTATGTCTCCCATTGGCAAGCACTCCAGACTTACACCCACATGCGAGCAAGATTTTGAGAAAGAGCAAGATAGTATTGAAATCATCTTGAAAGAAGGGGATTCACATTTATTCCCATTATTCTGTGGCAGTTTTTCCTTATTTCTCAAGGAAAATTGCTTTGGGGACTCTAGAAATTGAATCATTAAGGCTGATTACATCTTGAGTACAGGCATAACAGAAATTGAAACAACCAACCACTTACAAGAGCAGTTAAATAACTTACTAACTTAAAAGAAAGTAAAAACATAATAGAAAACAATCATGATATAGATCAGTTCTTGGCATCTACTAATTCTTTATATTGGTCTAATCAGACACACAATTGGAACCAAGTAGAAGGAAGTCAGGCCCCCTGCACAAGGACAGGACAGTCAAATTTGGCATAGGTCTTAAAAAAAATGCAGACAGTAGAATAGTGTACACCAACATTTAACAAAGGAAGGCAGGCAAGGATAATTTTTTTAAAGAAATTCTGATGGTTTATTTATGAATCTCTCCTTCAAAAGAGGCACTGAAAAAAACCCACAACTTCCAACAGGCAAATGCAAACAAATCAACTCTCATCAAGGGAGCCCTAAGAATGTGTGATTTCGTACAAATCTTTTCCTCAGCAAAAGGACCAATCTGGAAGCATCCTCCTTACTCATTAAGTTTTTGCCAATGTGTACAAACAGAGTGTAGAGCCATCTCCCTTTTCCTCTTGAGGTTGCTTTAAGAAATGCAGTCACTTTTCAGAGCTCAAAAACCATGTGTACTAAAGTAAGCTCTTGGCACGTATCATCAGACAAAACAAATCCTTTCTGAGGCTTTCTGAAGGGGGGTTTGAAGGACAGCAGTTACCTGTGCTCAGAATTTCTGCAACATCCTAATGACACTGGGAAGCTTTTGTGTGCTTTTCAAAAACTAATTACACAACTCCCTCAGTGGTTAGGAGGGAATGTGCTACACAGAGGAGAACTGAGACAGCTTTTTTTTCTGCTGCATGCAAGCTGCAGCTACATTCCTGTTTAAAACACCAGGGTGCTGGTTAACTTGGCACAAACCCTCAGAGTCTTCCAGCGCCTTTTCAGATACTTCCCACAAGTAGCTTAAATAGCTACATTCTGACTGGAAAGAGGGAAGTACTCAGGAATAATCTTCAGAGTAAGTCAGGACACAAGAAAAGCCCCCTATCCAAACCATCCCTACCATTATTTTACATAGTCCTTTAGAGCACAATCAGCCAACTCAAAGACAGCAGAGAACAGGAGTTCAAGGTTTTAATTCACAGCAAGAGAATAAAACAACAGCAACAGAAAAAATATTATACTGACTAGCACCATCCAAACTGACATAACTTTATCAACTGACAAAGAGAAAGCACCTTGCTACTTCCAGTCACTTGGGGGACTCAACAAAGCTTCTTGCTCCTCAAGCAATGCCCATCCTAATGAGTCTGACAAATTAGGAGTGCTTGCAATGTTTATATTTTCACAGCTGGCATGGTTCTTAAGAAGAGGCACTTCCAGGTGCAGTTGCCATCTACTCAAAAAGTAATTTGCAGAAGCACTATAAAAGTGCCATCTCAAAGTATGTTCTTGAAGTAGACAAGGGACAAATCAGGACTTCTATGAGTCACAGCAAGATGCTTCCAGGCCAGCAACTTCTCAATAAATGAACAGAGCTGCAGTGGCAGGAAAAAGTTTAATGATGCGGTGCCAACAGCCACCAGTTCATAACTCATTCATAGTACATCAGAAATAAGATGAAGAGAGTGGACAAAAAATTAAGGAAGTTCTGCTCTTCTACTGTATCAGCTGTAACATTTTATTCTGAATAGCATTTTTCATAACAAGAGTTTTCTTATTACCCTGAATTTCACATATTAGAGGAAAACTTACCTGGAAAACTCCAGCACATTAAGGATTTCAAAGGTTTTCTCTTTCCCCAGCTACAAAAGAAAACAAAAGAAAGAGTGTACTATTCTAAGTACAATCTACAATATATTCTTACACGTGCAAACATCCGAGCTGAGCTCAGCTGCCTTTGTCACACATCCCAGTGTAAATAAATGTGGCAATGGCTCCCTCCACTGGTTAAAGGTTGCAGAGCCCTATTTAATGAACTTAATTGAACATCCTGTATTGTGGCATCCTTCATTCACTACTGCTACACCATTACAAGGAGTTAATTTCCTTTTTGATTAGGCACGCTCTGGAAGCTAAGATGCATATTTAGTTCTCAACAGCCATCCATTAAGAGACATATTATAGACTGGATTATTTTAACTTTTCCAAGTTAAAATAAGCATGCCCTCCAGGTTTAGTATTACAATAACTTTTGACTGACCTCCATTAGTATTTCTTTTATTTTAATTCACAAAAATATGAGTTAGATTTTTCGCAGCCAAAAAAAGATTAGCTGAGGAGAAATTCCTGTTATCACCAGCAACTCTCTGCTGGGGCTGAGCAGGAGCAACCTGAAGCAGGAGAAATATTTTAAAACATGGGTCATCCCTATTGTATAGTGCACAGATGGAGCAGTAGGAGCTAGAGTCATAGAACTCTGGTGGCATTCGTAGCATGCAGTTAAATAAAGGGCAGCCGTAAAATCTAATTGCAGTATAGACTTGTCCAAGGCACATATCAACTCAGCAACATCCCCAAGATTAAAAAGCAGCTCTAAACCACTTTCTACATGCTGCCACTAATGCAGGCAATCAGGGGAGACAGGATTCTCTGAGAATGACAGCTTTTATTGCTGACTATAGATTAACAATGCCCTCAGCTTGGCATTATGAGTATACAACTAGGCCAGACAGGCCTGGTTGTTCCTGCAGAGGAGAGAAGCATTTAGGTGGCTCTAGATGACACTGTTCATCCTTCAACTAAGGAGCAGTTTGAGAATTTGTAAAAAGTTTGTGACAAATCCTAGAAGATATGTTTCAAGTGCTTAGCTTGGCAGTGTACCAAGAAATTTGAAAGGGAACATACCTGAGGGGAAGGACAAAAAAGATTCATTATTCTTAATAAGCACCCTACTAGCTGCATCTGTGTAAATCTGGAGCCACTTTAGCTTAGACTGCAACTTGAGTCTAAATTTGTGGCCCCATGAGTCTGAGGCTGCCTGTGCCAACTACAGACGCCCGTGCACACAGCTACATCTTCTATTGCAGATCTTACTCAGAAGAAAAAAATGAAACATTTAGAAGAACAGCATTAAACATAACAGTCAGAAAATCTCCCAGACACATTAATTTCCTTCTAATGTGAGCGTTCCCATCTGTGCTTCGTGGACAAAGGAAATATTTTTCAGGCACAGCTGCTGTCATTTCCCATGTAAGGCTGCAACTTCCTATCACCCATGCCACCTAGAGGGGCAATGGACTTGGCATTTTCAAATAGATTAAGACAATTTTTCTCAGTATACATAAGCCCTTGGCATGTAGGATCCTAAAGGCCCTCAAAAAGGGCCTTCACAGGAACCAGAGAGGACACCTGTATGCTCTGCAAGAGCTTGGCAGCCTGTGCCATGCACATCCATCACTTACCGCATCGATGATAACAGAGTGGGGAGTCCGTCCTGTGAAGACATAACCGAGTTTTTTTGCTCCTTTCACTAACGCTCCTTCATCTGCCAAAACAAAACAAAACAAGCTTGAACTTAGCCTGGTATATTAAAGAGGCCTCCAAAACCCATATTTCAATACGGCAGATTGCCAAAACAGAACCCCTTTTCCTATGTACTCTTATCCATAGGGATGTTAAGAGTAGTTCTGCACAGCCCTCCACAAAAAAATTCAACACTTTAGTCCTACAAAGGCCATACAATATCAACTACACAAACCTAGTACTTAATCTGTGTAAGATATCCTGTAACTACTGAAGCATTGAGCTCTATTCTTGTGGAGGTGTCATACTTTTCCACACGAAAAAGGTGAAATAGTTGTTCTGAAAGCAAGATCAAAGCTCTGTTATTTTAAATTCCTACAGTATGTGTTTGATCCATTTTCTGCTGGTAAGGCACTAAGTTCAAGTACTATAGAAATACAGCACTGTTTTCCAGAGAGACTCAACTGGGCAGTGTTATTAAGAGCTCAAATAACAGAGCTGTAATCAGAGCCAACACCTGTGCCTCCTGTAGATAATTACAGAGCCTCCTTAAGGAGTAAGCATCACTAAGCACAACCATTATATAGGTGGATTTAGTGCCTAATTCAAGCAATCCTCATGTCTCTACAGCTCCCTTAGTCTCCTCACGGCTCATCATGTTGACCAGAACTTCCTTATATGAGCTCTTTATCCTACTTTTCAGACACCCTATTAAGACATAAATAAGAAATGAGGTTGCTTCATCAACTACAGCAATTCTAGAAATATCTTCACTAACAGAGATAAATTCAAGGGAGAGCAACATACCCCAGTCTGGTCCCACCTAGCTCTGTCTGCACTAACTGAAAGGAATAAAAATATGGTTGAAGGGCAGGCCTGAGTAATGCCAAGACTCTGAAAGTTTTGGTTGCATTGTGTCATGTATCAGCACTTAATAGCTTCCTATCTTACTCTAAGCAGATAGCAGATCAAGAAAGACAGTTTGTAGTCAGGCAAAAAAGTAACTGCTCATGCAGAAACAAATAATTTCTTCCTACACACTCACATCTTTTACTTTCACCCCTGCAGAAAGAGTACACGGTCTCATGAGCATGGAAGGGACCCTAAGCTCAGCCTATCTCTAAAGAAACATCATGGACTCTGTGGTTTTGTAGGAAGCATTCAAAACCAGTGTGTACTGATTACAGAAGATGCAGATCTACTGCTAGCACCATGTGGGACATTCTGCTTTCAGAATCAATGACCTTTAAAATGACCTAGAGTTTTATGGACGTTACTTCCATCTACTTTCACTCCTTCAACTCATTCCCCCCTCCCTCCCGAAAAAGAAAGCAACAACCAACCTGGAGAGGAGGCCTGGTAGATTATTGTATTTCCTTGTCTCTCAGGAACAACAGTATGACACACGGCCAGCAGTGTGAGGAACTCCTCTATGTGCACGGCTGTGGGCTAGACAGGACACCAGGAGAGTGAGGTTTGGCACTGCACACAGACTGAGGAACCTGCTCACTAAACTGAGATGATCTCTTAGGTACCACAGACAAAACAACCCCAAAACATATCCTGTTCTCTATTTAGGAGTTGTTTTGACCTCAGAACACCAAGACAGCACAGGTCAGGGCCAGCATTGATACACTAGAGAGCTATTGATAAAGACCTCATTCAAGTTGCAGAGAGTCAAGAAGGCTGAGCATTCCCTCACCCCCCACCCATAAAAGCATTACTTCTTTAGCACCCCAAGCTTCATAAAGGCAAAAACACCTGCCACAAGATGATGATAATCTAGCAACAGGAAATATTACTACTGGCAGCTTCCAACAGATAGACAGCAACCACACCAGAACTAAACTTGCTGCAACTGCACCCTTAGTGATGAACATCCAGAGCTAAGAGCAGCTGAACAGCCAGTAGAAGGCAAAGTCACATGTCCTTCCAAAGGAATACAGCACCCACTCAAGCATAAAATTAACCTATGGTCCCTACACATTCAGCATCAAGAGAACATGCAACATAAAGCACTGTTTCGAAGTGCTTAAACAGACACCAGGTCTGCAACTCAGCAAAGTTAGCACTTAAATCACAGGCCTCTGATCAGCCAACTGTGGCAACTGCAACCTTTAATGATGTGAAATTAAGTCCCTCATCCCATTCTTCCCTCCTTTCCATCCCTGCCTCTGGCATAGGATTTATAGTCTCACAGCAGTCAGGAAGAGCACAGCAGCCATTTGCTCAGTGACTCAGACATGAACTTAGTAGAAACTTAGAACCTTTGCAGAATGCCCTACTTGATTTTGCAAACTCACAAAGAATTTTTGCATATAAAAAATCATCCAGGTTCCACATCTTTCATTAGCACAGCATATGCATTGGCGATATGAAGGTTTAATTAGTAGAAAGTAAACTACCATAAAAGCCACAAAACCATGGCAAACACCGTGGCAATGTGCGTAAACAAAGTAAGCATATCAGAAAGTAATGTAATAAAAACACTGAAAATCCAAGCTCTATACTCTTAGCCCTATATTCAAAGTACTTCATGTACTTTGCCATGAATATTTTCAAAGTAAAAGTTTCACACAGGACCTTTACCTTCACAGACTGAAACTTCCGAATTGTATGGTCACATGCCACTGAATTAACAAGAGCTGTTGCTTGCAACATGCTGGGGTGCAGAGGCTGTGCTCAGGAAAACAAACATTTGCACACTACTATCTGAAAAAGTCCACAGCAAATTACAGTCAAGAGGTAATTGCTGTTCCATCATTTGCAGTCAAAGTAATGAAAGTTTTATCTCTGTGTCAAAAGGCACAGCCTGCCAGATTCTCATTTCAGCATCTGTTGCTGCAGACCTTTGATGTCTGTCTTACACTTTTATCACCTAGCCCCTTAACAAGCTTTCATAGTATGTGTTCCATCAGCTGGAAACAACCTGTCTTCAGTAGTGACATGGATTTTAATCCTTCCTAAGTATGTATTTATGTTTTCAAGCCAACAACATAATTTGCTGCTGTCTTGGTATTTGCACAGCCCACAATGTATTACAGGGCAATCTTCCAATTCTGTTTCAACAGATCACCAGAGGCCCAGCTTATCACAACAGCTCCTCCACACAGCTGTCATTTGTTTCCTTTCTGTATTGTTCCAGCACTGACAATATTTGTTGCACAGACATGAATCAGGGTAGAGCATTCAAATACCTGCTTTGGACCTGTGAACAGAAAATCTGTTAATGGCTTCTGTGGCAAATCTGTTAATGGCTTCTGTGGCAACACATCCCTTTCAAGATGCTGAGCTGAATCCCAGCACAGGACAGCAGTCCCACAGCTTAACCAATTCTGCTTTATTACTTATTTTCTTCTATCAAGTCTTTGACAGTATTCTTACTGATGGTCTCTGAGAGACATTTCTTGCCTGTTCACGTGTTAAGGTCAGCCTTATTTCTTCCTCCCTCCCTTTTTAGCTCTCTATCTGTAGTTGGAACAAAATTTGCATATTTTAATCTCTTATTCATCAGTCCACAGGTAGTTCTCATTTTAAATGCCTTCTTGCCTCATTTTTGTTCTAGTGTGCCAACAACTCAGGGTGAAAGCCACTGCTTCTTCCCTTTTTGTCCCACTCAAAAACCCATGAAGAAACTAGTCTACAAACATCTGTACAAGAAATACACTCCACTGGATGAATTATTTTGTTTGCTGTCCCTACCAGCTGAGAACCACATACACATTGCAGTGGTGTTCTACTTCTGGAAGCAGATTCTGGATTCTCATCTACAAAGCACTATCCTCAGAGAAAGCAAAGCTCAGCTATCTAGTAGGCACAGCACTATCCATTATCAAGCAAACCACCGGGCAGAAAGCAAGTTTTCATCCTTTCATGGTTCCTATATTTAGAAGAACAAAACACTGAGACAAGCCTCAGTCTTCTGGGGAACTGCCCTGTGCAGAGCTTCTTATCTGCACATGTTACACTTACCTTGACTCTACGCTCTGAAGACACTATTTTTCTCAACTGTTAACAGTCTCAAAATCACAAGGAATTTGCATGTGAAGTTAAACATACCCTTCATTTTTCCTTTAGGCGTAGCAGTATCAGATTAGTGCCCTCATTCACAGTACTTCCAGGTGAGCAAGACTGACAGTTTTTTGAGCAAATGGTGTAGAAATGGCCAGTTGGATGCTAAAGCACAGTCTAACAACCTCAACTTACTACTTTGCATCTAAGTGGCACATTCTGCCAAGGAAAACTGAAAATGCTTATGCATTTAATTACCACTGAGCATTACATGGTAATTCTCAACATCTTAAAAATATATGAACTTCCTACCATTTAGTTCACTAAAGTATCTGGAGAACAGTGTGAGGATCCAGCCATGCTGAGCACCCCCAGAACAGTGAAGTGGCAGGACTGGAGTAGACCAAGATACTTCAGGCACAGACTGAGAGAAGACATTAACCAGCTTTTGAATAGTCAAGAGAATGAAATTCGAGTGTATCTTGCCCAAAACCAATGAGATATGACCTATAATTAAAGACACTGCCTTGTACTTGAACAAAAGTACTGAAGTCCCACGCACAATAAGAACAAAAGCAGATTAGAGAAAAATATATCTCACCAAGCTCTAACAACTTAATTGTGAGCTATAAAATGATGTGTTTGGACAGTTTTCCAGCAATCTGAACTAAAGCCTCCCATAGGCTTTCATCACCTGAATATGTTTTTTCCCCCTACTGTATTTCAAATCTCAGTTTTTCATCCCAGTTAGCCGTGATATGTTTTTCTGGTTCTGCTTTCCTATGGAATTAAGAATCAGCTGATGATAGCTGTCATTTTGACAAAGCTTGATGGGATAATAGCCTCAGTTCCCACACACCACAAGAATAAATAGACGTGTTGGTGAGGTCTAAACAAACACTTTCAGTGTGGTAAAGGCTCAGTGTGAGCACAACAGCTGTCTGCTCTGCCTGGCCAGCTGCTGAAGTTCTCATCACATGTACTCACTGAGCCAATTCGGGCATCTGCAGCTACACCATGTTTGCTGTTTCTTGGCCAAGACATAAATTGGGGGCCACAGAAGAAAGTTCATATGCAAATTAAAATTCACAGATGAAGTTCAGAGAGAATCCTGGGAGATACAGGAGTCTAGGATGAGAATCAAGTCTGTTAGTTCCTTCTTGACCTCCTTCCCTGCTCTCCTATCACTAGTGTAAAACATAACACCACAGGAAACAGGCTTGCATCTCTGTGCTGAGCTCATTCACAGGACATATGCAACTAGCAAGCACCAAGATGAACACCATCTAGCATATTCACCAAACATTCCTTCCAGTCTTAGCAAAGACTCTTATTAGACTAAGAGTTGAAGCCATTTTCTCTATAGAAACAAGACAGCATCATACATTTGCTACAGCTGCACAGTTCATCCAACAGAAGCCAATAAAAAGAAAAAGCACAGGCAGACAGAGCTTGGTACTTTCTCCCACATCTTGGCAAAGCAGCCAAGAGAAACCTCCACAGGTTTTCAAGACAAGTTATTTTTCCCTGGAACAATTCCTACACAGCAATAATTCTTTAACTGCTCAAAAGTGGAATTGGCTATCAGTCAGCCCTTACACACCAGAGACCCAGAAGAGCTATGAAATTTAGAGGTGATGCAGGAGGCTAGAAATCTTCCTAGCAGATGGAAGACAGTCTCATGAGTACAAGTGCATAATTTTTTATTTTCAACCTGGAAAGAAAATTACTTGGCACTGTGACAGTTCTAAACTAACACTTGTGACTGAAATGAAAAAAAAAAGATTAAATTCTTCAAGAGGAGAGCAATGAACACTTAATGAGAGCGTGTAAGAGATCACATTTACACCTTCAGCTGCAGAAGGGCAAGCGTTTAGAGGGAATTGCCCGAGTACAGCACCATCTAACTTCACTAGGTAGCTTATGCTAGAACACTTCAGTTTTTCACCACAGTTCACTAAACGAGTAGAAATTGACAGACACGTGCAAATAGCATCTGCAGCTATCTATCAGCTGTAAAAATGAAGATTATTCAGATTTTTAGATAGAAAGAAGTAGTTTATGCGCCTCAGTAGCTGACCTAATGCAAAAAGAGCCAGAAAGACCCTTCTCTCTACCACTATCCTGGAATCCAGCCCCTCCTCTCACCCACAGCCTGAAAAATACACCCAAACGTGCTCAGCAAACTGTCATGAGTAGTCCTTGCATTCTCATGTCTTATGCTAAACCACCACTTGCCAGAGGGTGGCACCCATTCCTCCAGTACAGTCAGGCTCTGAAAAGTATCTTTGGCCAGTAATTTCCCCACTCATTGTCTGAGGGCCGAGTTCACACAATGTGCTCAGTCCAACAGCCAGCTGCACAATGACATCAATATTTGTCTGTTTAAGTAACCAGCAAAAAGGAAACTGGAAAAGGGTTCAGCATAGAAGACTGCTGATTAGGGAAGCTACCAAAATCCCTTATTTGCCTGCTACAACAGTGTATATTTGTTTTATCTCCCAAACAAGAAACCACCCAGAGAAGACAAAATAATTAGGTAGCCCCAAAATAAGAGGCCATCTCAAGGCTAGGTAAGAAATTCCATCTCGCAGCTCATTTGAGATACATCTCTTCTGCTGAGTCTATTGAAATACACCAAAGCATTTTTCTCTAGGCATACCTAAAGCAACAGCAGCCAGAAAGAGCTCAAAGACATTTTGCCTGCAGTCTACACCTAAACTAGAATGAATACCTGGAGTCAGCAAGTGCCATAAGCCATAACTGTAGCCATAAACAAACATGACACAAAGGAACAGGACATGCACAAATCTTGGCTGCAAGTCATGTCCAGTGGGAAATCTTTCCAGAGTACATGAGTACAAAAACCACATGGGAAACTAGGGCACTGTCCTGAGTGGGTCACCTTTCTGGAGGTTAGAGCACAGGAGCCACCTTTAGGCTCCATCACCCTGCAGAATACATAGTGCCACACCAAGTAATTACTCCCTTCTAGCACTCATACCATGCTGCAGTTCTTAAGTACTGCACAGCAGAACAGAAAGCAAAGCCTTCCTGCACACAAACTGTATATTGCAAGTACATTTTAGATGCTCATACTAAACTAAACCAGCCCAGTTGCAGAAGTTACACTAAGGAAAGCAATCAGCTGACTGAGTTTGTGCTTGCCAATGCTCAGACCCCATACTGTGAGACAGCCTGCAGAGAAGAAGGGTCATGCTTTTTGGCAGGTGAATTAATTGTCTGGTGTCCAGTCAGACACTTCATACCCACATGACTTCCAAATAAACAATGAACGGACACTGTAAAGAATAGGTCCCTTTAGGACTCAACAGCTAGGCTAAGACTACCACTCATTAACACTCATGCCAAACCTGAATTTGCAATTAACTCCCATCTCTTACATCCTTTACACAACTAGAATTCCAAACCCTTGCAATACTTAAGGCTCATTCCAGAACCACCTTGAAATGCTACAGATTACAGTTAAAAATGGTATAGATGTTTCAACACTCCAAGTAGTTTCTTTTAAAGAATTTAAATTTCTATCATAACTTTTTACAAAGCATTACCTTCCATATACAACAGAATATACGAAGCTGCCTTAGAGGTAGCTAGAATCTGCATCAATGCCATTGCTTCTTTAATTCAATTGTAAGACAAGTGGGCAGAAAGGCGTTGGAGGGAGCTATTTTGATTCCAATTTACCCCCTCTGTGCTTGCATGACACACTCACAGAGCAGACTTAATCACACAAATAGATTTGTTCAGCATTCAATTCCAGACAAGCCCAGAATAGGGCATTTAAGAGGCGTGATATTCAAAGAGCAGACTTACATGATGATTTTCAATGTTTTGCAGCAGTCTTGGGTCATCAAATTCACACGATTCACTGGTGGAAGGAGGTAGCTGGCTGCAGAGCAAAACAAGCATATTCAAACAAGTGGCAACATTGCCAATCTTAGTACTTCATCTAGTTTCTTGGGAAACAAATTTAAAAAGCAAACTAAGACTCCAGTGTCCCTGAAAGCATTGTGAAAAGATCATATGAGTAATGCAGCAAGTGCTGAAAATTAACACCAGCAAAAAACCCAAAATGGTTATGGCTGACAGCGTATTTCAGAAGATTCAAGTGTCAACGCAGCTCCTGGGACAGATGTAGCAACAGCAGTTTTTAAGCATATTTAAGATAAATGGATTTCAGGGCGGCTTGCTCATAAAATAGATCGATGTTCAATATCCCTAAGTTCCCTCCCTAGTCAGAGCATTCTGCTTCAAGCTGACTCCTGGAGGATTTTAAGTCTCCAAGTAACTACCTAGGAAAAACTTGCACAGAACTGAATAGAAAAGGAAGGTACAAAGAAAGAAAAGACAGCAATGAAGAAAATAGCAATATATTGGAAGAAAAGAGGGATCCATAGAAATTGCCTCTTAGCAGAAGAAACATCATTTTATCACCTTCCTAAAACATGATCATAGAAATGAGCTGGACCAGTGGAGAAGCCCAGCTTAGCTCATCACCCAGTACTTTTCTAACAGCATTCAGTGTTGGCTTGTTTCTTGGGTGGAAATTCACTTCTTCCCTGTATTTGCCATTCAAATCCATGTCAGCTCTCCCTGGCTTTTCCCTTCCTTCCCAATAATCAAAACGTGTTTCACTGATACCATGTAACACCTCTGGGTCTTCACTAGTTTCTGTGGAATGCGACAGACCCATCACCTCTATTCATTAATGTTCCCAATAAAAACAAGAAGCATTCTCTGGACATGATCAATTATTAAAACATAGCATTTTAATAAAGAAGTCCCTTTTCTTCTCATTCTCTTCAGGCCTGAACTCAGTGATCATAAAGAGCAACATTCAGTCTCAAGCTAGGGGTAAGGTTCCTGCAAAGTAGGTTAATTTTAGCTTTTAACTTGACTGTCTGCAATTATAAATAAGCACTGCATTAGCATCCCAGCCACTGCCTATTCCTAACCCCCCTCGCATATGAAATCTCTATGCAGAAGAGTAGATCCATCACCACCCACCAGCTCTGCATCTCTCCCACTGGAAGACCATTTTACTCAAATGCATTCCTCCCTTGGGCTTCTTCCAGTCCCAAATTGGAAAGCAGTCTTTATATAGATTGTACCCACTCTGCTATACAGAACATAAACATCTTGGAATGTATTTACCTGAAGTCTTCTGATGAACGTTCTCTTTCCAACTCAGGAAAGTGACTGAGGAGTAGAAAAAGGAAAAAAGAACATTTATTCCACTTTAGTAACAAAAAAAAAAATAGGTAGAAGGCGAAGATCAATGAGTCATCCCACAAAAACATATGCTGGAACCATGGGTTCAGCTGTTCATACATTTGAATCAAATTTTCTGCCTTTGAGATATCTAATTTAGCTAACATGAAATTCAAAGGTTAACTTGAGATCTTAAGACTACCCATTTAACATGAAGCAAATACAAAGATGTAGATGACTCAAAGGGATCCTTTTGACAGAACAGAATAGAACCAGTAAGCAGGTATCCATCCCTCTTGTTCAAGGAATATTAAGCTCTATAACTACAACTACACTGCTCTAACAAAATTCTGGTTCTTCTCAAGTCACAGAAATATGACTGATAATTGCTACCCTTGGACTGCAACTTCTTCCCTCTTGAAAGGCCAGAGCTTATTTAGCACTTCTGGTTTTGTTTAAATCATGATCAGGTAAGTTAGGAAGCAAGTTTCTTTCCTTCATGTGAAGTACTCCCCAGGTTTGACTTTCATAATTTGGGCTGCAGGACAGGAAAATGAAAACTACTAATTAAGACAACAAAATATGCTAGAATAAAAACTGAAGAACAGAATGTTCTAATCCTTTTTCAAAATAAAATTTTGTACCAGTAATATGCACACATTAAGCTACAGAGTTTTTTTAAAAGTCATACCTACCCATATGTCACTCCAGCAATACTGCATTTCTTAAAGTTCATGATATTGCATGTTAGAGTACCTGTTTTATCAGAAAACAGGTATTTAACCTGAAAGGGAAAAAACAAGTCTGATTTTCAACTTGCATAGTAATAAAACTCAAAGTAGAAAACAGGAAGATACTCAGAGTCATATTGCTCAAAGGTCACAATATTGGCCAACGCAGGCTTATTACAGCTTGATTTGTCTACCAGATCTACAGAACAAAAATCAGGCAAATTATTTAATTGCATTAATTCTTTATGTTTAAACGTGGAAAGGCTCAAATAGTAAGTATCAACTACCAAGGCTCTAGTGTGATCACTACAGATGTACTTGGTTGCACTACTTGGACATTCACCAAATCTTTCAACTGTACTAATCTCAAAGAGTGATTAGAAATGAAAACAAAGACTCCTGGGATTGTTGAAGGCTCACTAGAATTTTACACACTGAAGGCAGTCTGTGTTTCAAAGATCACCAGGAATGTTTGGGGTTTTTTTTCCCCCCTACCTTTAAGCACAGAATATGCTAGAGTATGTCCAACTGGTACTATGCAGGGAAATAAAAAATGTTTTATCTCATGTCCACTCATGAGCCGTCCCAAAGTACACAAAACACAGCAACAGTTAGCACTGCCCAAAGTAATAATCCCTTAACGGAAACAGTGATTTCAAGGTAAAACTTGGAGGCAACCCCATCAAAGCAACTTCTTGGAGCATTACAGATTCAAAATTTCCACCTTCAAAGTGCCATAACAGACCAAAACTAATTGCAGGCTAATGATACCACTGTTGTACCTCTGCACCAGGTAAGACTTTCAACCAGGAAGGGATGATGATACATGAAAGAGTTAGACAACTCAAAGACAAAAAATAATTTGACTATAGTTAGAAGAAGCTTTTCCTCAACAATTGCCATTCAGCTTAAGGCACTGCACTACACTACTTGTAATGTGATCCTTTAGTTGTGCACTGTACTGCTACTGAATACAGCATTGGAAATGGAGCCTTTGCAAGCCAGAAGTCAAAGTAGGTACCTACACTTCTGAGGAATTTTAAGTCATTAATAATTTCACCATAAAACAAAAATATCAAGGGCATCTGTGAACATGTAATTCAATTCAAGAATCAAAAAATTCAGTCTAGTTACACAGAATCACTAGTAAGCCATTCCTGAAAATAACATGTGGGCCACCAACATATATCATGCCACACATCCTTTACTTCAGACAAAAATAATACCATAATTTGGAAGTTGATAACTTCACATCAAAGTGATTTAAACAGAAATCAAATTTCAGCATTCATAAGAAAAATGATCAGATTAAGCAGGAACAATATTGACTACCCCCCTACTGAGCAGGATATTATTGTCCTTCAATAAAATACATATGTTTAAATACATAATGTTACCTCCAATACTAAATTCATGCCTATTATGAAGTTCACATAGTTCAGTTACAAACCTATTGCCATCTTATTGGGAAGCTCCCATACCTTCTTTGTCATTTCTCATGGGCATCTCCTCACAGCACTGACCCCTCCTTCCTCACAGCACAGCCGACAAACTCCAGCTCTCTTCACAGCACAACCAGCTAACTCCCACTTCTCTCCTCGCCCAGCTAACTCACTCTTTTGTAGCACTTGTGTCCTTATAGGACATAGCTGTGGTCTATTAAGGGCAGGCCTGTTCTTAATCTTTGGTGATTAGAACAGCTGCAACTCCTCAGGTGTGAGACTACCTTCTGCACTGTCTTCATTTTCTTACATTCTGTCCCTCCACACAGACATATAACCTTGGTGGTCAAGGAAAAAGCTACCATTTCTCAAGTGTATTACAAAATTCCAACAGCAGAGTTATATTATCCAGTAAGTTTGTTCTGGGAAGCCCTTCTGGTTTGAAGAAATGTTATTCCCAGAATAAACAAAGCTGCTACAACAACTAGAAGTTAATATGCACCTATCCTTATCTGAAGGAAAATAGAAATGCTTGAAGGATCACAATATCTAAATTAGGAATACAACTGCATTTTTTTTTACTTGCATCTCCAGTCAGAAACATCAAAAACTAATAAGTCTAGCCCTGTAGGTTCTGTTTTGGTATAGACAGCCAAAATCACAGAGCATCTCTCCGAGATCTTTGAGAATAAAGTTTAGAGTGCACATAAGAAATAGTTTCAATTCCCAAAAATAAAACTGCCTATATGACATTACATTTAATCCTGTGATATCTCATTATTTCACCTGTAAGACTCAGACTAGAGAAAATAAAAATGTCCCATTAACTCGAGCCACAGAGCAAGAAAATAAAGCTGATTTGTACATCTTGTAGAGTCTTGTACATGTTGCTCTTATACCTTTGCTCTTGAGAGAGTATATCACAATCATGACACTTCAGAAAATGCTATCTTACCTGCCCAAGTTCCTCATTAAGGTTTGAGGTTCTGGCCATTGCAGGTGTATCTGTTTCAGGGTAATACATATCTGTGTCCTGAAATGAGAGCAAAATTAAGACTTATGTTATGCAAATTAAACACTAAATCTCTGTTCTTCTTTTAGTCAGCTCCAACTTGGCTTGATTGTCTTAATGCTATGAGCAGGCATTCTGAATGCTTGAAACAAACATCATCCCAGGATGAATATGGGTGCCTCCTTTCCAAAGTATACTTCCATCCTACAGGAACATGAGAAAAGTATAGGTAGCTAATAAACTAAAGGTGCAACAGAAAAAAACAAACTCAGTACAGTAGAAAGAAGTTCATGCATTAGCCATGCTCATCATAAAGTGGTCAGTAACAACAATCAGTTGCTCGAGTCACATCTATGAGACAATTTTAGTGGATCCATGAAATAAACTTCTGTTACTACAAAGAAACAGCTGTTACACAAACCTAAGAACTTCTCAGATATGCATCTCTACTACATTACAAGCAGCTCAATGAACAGACATATTAAACTTTGCTTACACATGTTTTACAGTAACCTACTACATTACTCAAAGTCCAAGGATTAATGCATACCAACAAAAGGAATCTCTCTTGGTTTTGTCCAGCTTAAGAGCCACCACTAGAGTATTTCTGGCCCATAACTTGAGAAAGACATTTTGAAGTCAAAGCTTCCCTGAACAGAGGGATCACTGTTTGGTTGTGAGGCAACATCAACTTATCTCCTTACGAAAACATTATGGTCCATTCCAGAGGTGACCTTAAGGCCAGCCTCAAGATGTAAAAACAAAACACAAAAAACCCCCAAAAAACCAACAAGCAACCCCCCCCAAAAAAACAACAAAAACAACAACAAAAAAAACCCCCACACCGACAACCAAGTCCAGTCTTGCCCTCTGCTGTGTCTCAGAGAAGCTATAAGATACCGAAGAGTTTTCAAAAGATAATTGCTGAACGTGAGTCAGCTGAGAGAGAGACCTCCTTCAACCAAGAGCTGAGGCTGCCTTCCCATCCTAAAAGCCTAAAATACAAGTCATGATTTGCACAGGGCACCTTCCTGTAACTAGATCTTTTAATTTCCTATGAAACACAGAACTGATATAGAATAAAACCTGAGTTTCCCCCTGCCTTTCCCAGAAGTTGCATCAGAAAGTAATTAGAAAATCTCACTAAGATGTTAAGTGGGTTTTTATTTTAAATGTCAACATCCAAAACTGAGATACATTCACTCTTGCTACTTACCCAATTTATAAAAAGAGCCTGAGTAAACTTGACAACTTCCAATGTCACCAGAAGGCTGATTGGAATAAGGTTGTTGTACAAGATTATAAACGTCAGCAGATTGTATCCAAAGTTGACAGACAGCATTTCTGTGGATCAAAAGACACAGGACATTAGCAGACAAGTCTGAGTGGTATAGGGGCTATCATCTTTATGCAGTTCACCTAATCAGAATTAACAAAGCCAAAATAATAAGCTACTGTGTTGATGTCTAGTTTAAGGGCCATTTTAATATTGATTTCAACAGAAGACAGATAAAACACCCACAGCATACCAGGTGAAGAAGGACAAGGTTAGTGAGCCTATATGTAAAAGAACAGAACATTTTCTGAACAATTTTTGCTGGACAGATGGTGAAAAGTACAATATTCCCCACTATAACCAAAATTAGACATTTATCTAGTGTGTCAACTGCCCAATTAAGAGCCCCCAATGTCACTAGTAATATAACCATCTTTCAGAGAGTGCCTGCTTGCTTCAGTGGAGTTAGGAAACAAAAAATAAACACTGAAATTAGTTCTAAAATCTGACATAATGGTCAGAACTGAGAATTCACCCTTACAAAAGAAATCAACAAGAACAAGTTGACTGTTAAACACTTGCCTAGTATATGAACTAGCGCACCCTGCTTAATCAAAGAAGCTGTTACTAATGGTGACAACACTGGGCAACTTGCCCAAATAAGTCTACCACCACAACTGGTCCTAAAGGGAAGGGGAAACACTTATAGACAGCCAGCAGGAAGGTACAAGTCTCAGCAGAGACACAGGATGAAGGCTCCTGGTCACAGTGCTGCCCACAGCCTCTCTTTACAATCAAAGTCTCCGCATTTGTATGCTCTCCACTTCCCTAGAAACTTAGAGAGGCACTTCAGTCAGCACACAGAACATCCAGCACAACAGGGTCAGAGTCCACAACTAAGGGTTTTCAGCATCATAAGTTAATTAGAAGTCAGGGGAGCAAACTAGGAGGAGACAGAATCCAGAGAAAATCACTGAAGCCTAATAAAGATCAGAGTTTGGACAAAGGCACCTCAAAGTGTGAGTACACACTAATTCCATAACTTTGATAAGTTTACAGAAAACAGAAGCATGCTTGGTATTGGAACATTTTCCAATACAATTTTTACAGAGATGAGACATTTAGCCAAAATTTAGCATCTACCTGCCAAACCTGAAACAGTGTCTTTTCTGTGTGTGGCAGTTACAGAAGGCATAGAAATTGTGCATTCAAATTACAAAAAGGCATCTACACAGACTATCATGTCATCTTAGTCTACTGCAAGTAGAACCTGTTTTGTACTGCAAGTTCAAGACTTCATTCCATTCATCTTTTCCAGTACTACTTCTGTCATTGGAAGGCACAAATTTAAACTTACTCATTAAAAAACAAGGGGAGAGCAGGCAAGAAGTTCTGAAAAGTGCTGACACTGCTACAAGAAGACATTACTACTAACAAAACCCAGAGTCAAATATGGGGCATTTCCATGCTATTCCTATAGGGTTTTTTTCATTACTACCATAACTACAATTCTTAAACTGCAGAAGATACACTTGCCATCTGTTTCGCATCATCAGTAGACAAGGCATTTGCCGTTTCTGATAACTGCTTTAAGATCTGCATCTCAAAATGCTTTTAACACCACGTTTTACAGCTAATGTAACCTCCTTAAAAGTCTGCTGGGGAGTACTTCATTGCTCATGTCCATCTTTGATAATGAGCTAATAAATTTGAGGACTAAGAAAAATCAAATAAAACCCTTCATATAATGATGCTAAAAGATCAGTTTTCTCACAACAAGTTAACAGAAGCTAAAGATAGAAACTTTACCCAATAAATAAGAATTTGTGACATCCACCATTTCAATTTTCTCTAAAAGAGCAGATCAGCATTTCTAACTCAAAGAAGTAAAGAGAAATCCTTTGCATCTGTATATAAGCATAAAGCTGAAGTAGGCATCAGACTGATACTCCCCATCCTGTAGTCAAATACTGACAGACACACACAAGGCTGCAGTACATGAGAGAAAAATACGTGTATGGTATCTCTACCGAGATGAAAGAAGTGAACACCAGATATGCAAGAGTAACTCTTGCCCCTCTTGTTTCTACCCTGCTCCCTGGGTGCTAGCCCAGTGATATTTACCTAACCTTTAGAAGCTTCACTGGGAAGCTCACTTATGTCAGCCTATTCTCAAAAAAAATATATTAGGTCATGAAAAAACTAGCAAGACACAGGGGGTTTGGGGCTTTTTTTGTGGTTTTTAAATTTATTTCTTATTTTATGCATTAATTCAGTGAAGGTAAGAGCCTGGCTGCCCCTGCAGCCTGATACATCACTGGCCCAGTGCCTGCATACTCACTGTTGGAGCCTAGGTACCAGACAACTTCGCCGTGTGTTCTGTTCCATAATAAGGCACCTACAGAACTCACAAGGGCCATTACCAGGAGAATACAGAACAAAACCAGGATCTGCATGTTGGTCACTTTCTCCACATTTGATCTCTTCAGAGGTGCTTTGGTTGAATTCTAAACAGTGGCAGGGGAAAAAAAAAAAAAAAGAGAAAGAACCTGGCAATGGCTTTTACAAGAGAAAAATCCAGAAGCAAACCCAGTCTTTACTTTCAGAGTCCTTTAGAGCACCTGCTGTCCATCCCATTGATGCTTAGCAGCAGTGATCAACATACACATGTTGCCCGTCTCACCAGGCACTCCCTGACATTAAGGAAATACAGGACTGCTGTCTTAGTAATAATCATGAAGATAATTACGTTATGTCCTCAGCTGTTAAGCCTCAGTTTTAAATGCCATCCAGCTACCAGATAAGTTAAGATGAAAGTTAGCTCTCCTAACATATTGAACTGCTTTCACTTCATTGTGTGTTTGCACATGTGCACATGCAAATTGGAGCACAATGGATCCTTCTATCCCTCGAGACCTCCAAGCCTTAACTATAATGAGTCAAACTATTTCATCAAATCAAGTCAATGACAATGAGAATACAGGAAATAAGATCAACTTCTATCAAAACATACCCTTAATCCCCTTAAAACCTTTACCTGCATGAGTTTTGTGTCATGTCCTGTATACACAACAATACCCAAGACCCACTGAGTGTTTCTCAGTTGTGCACCTCTCAGCAAGATCTGGTCTGGACCAACAGGAACTGGGCTGCAAAAGAAGTAGTTCATGAATCTTCCAGTTCTTGGTAACACTTTAAAGAAGATAGTTCTACTCCTAGCCTTGCTCCCCAGTTAATAATACAAACAACCCCAAACGACAACAGGGGAAGAAGGTAATAGCAATATAATGAGCTTAGATTGTTCACACAACTAAGAAAGCACTGAAACCTCTGTAAGTCTAACTCCTGCTAAAGCACAGTAGGGCAGAGCTGCTCCAGTTATCCAGAACTTGAGAAATTATGTGGCAGCCATAAATAAGCTTATTCTGCACTTGACCTTGGCTAGTACATTCTCTCTCATATCAAGGGCAGAGAAGCATTGAACTTGCAAAGAGACCATCCATTTCAAGCACACTGTATCAAATACACAATTAAACAAGCATTTGAGAAAGCCTGTATCAACCATGTGACTTCCAAGTGGGATGCAAGTGATCATCTGCTATTCTTGGACTGAGCTGCCCAAGGAATATACATTTGGTAAAGGAAAACAGGTACAGCCAAATATAACATGTATGTTCCTACCAACCTGTCACAATCTGTGAATTTGAGTACTAAAACGACATACTTTTCTTTTAAGAGTTCTAGAAATCAAAGTCACACTGCCAAAGCCTCCAGGTTCTGGGATCACTTTTCTCTACAAACTTGACCTTGGTGCAGCCTTTGGCTCTTGTTGAAAGGGAAAGGTCTCTATTTCTTCTGTGTATCCTGTGTAATAAGAAGGCCCTAAAAACCCCAACCATCTCCTTGAATCCTTCTCTTTAGATGTACCTTTTAATAAAATATCACCATTAATTACAAAGAAATCAATACTCCCATAACGAGCAGAAGTACCCATGCAAAGACAGAACTGTGTTATCTTATACTGGCAGATGCTCTGATTAATAAATATTAATTATTACCCTCATCTTCTCCAGCAAAAACATGCATGTGCTCAGAGTGCCAGACTAAAAGAACAGAGGAAACAATTTTCCTAACCAACTGAATTCATGGCTTTGTTGTCAATACCTTTGACCATCTAAGCGCAAGTTTCCAGTGAAGTCATAGAGATGGCGGTTGGGTCCTTCACATTCTATCCTCCCAGACACTTTCATCAATTCTTCCCTGGACTGGAGACTAGCAGTTTGAGACAAACCCTGCACAGAACAATTTAAAGGAGATTTTTGACAAAAACTGCTATTAGAAGGCAATCTACTGAAATGGTGCTTCCTTTTAACATCTATGAGCCAAAATACAATTAAATCTGTGGAGGTTTGTTACTCAGGATCCTGTTTTGCTTTGGTGGGGTTTTTTTTGGAGGGCTGGTTTTCATTATGTTTTGGGGTTTTATTTTTTTGTTTGATATTCAATACCTCTTTCCTGCAAGGAAAACTCATTATGGACACATAGAAAACTACTACCAAGACTGAAACTCTCTACACACATCTTCACATTACCTACATGGCTCCTCTTTAACCAAGAGGAAAGTAACATCCACAAAACACAAAGTTTGATACGTGCAGGAGGAAGCAGGAGAAAAGCAGCATAAATAGACTTGGCTTTTTGCTCAAAGTATAGCTGCCCTGATGTGTTATGGTTGTTAACACCTTATGCTAAATATGGTTGTTTTTAAGTGTAGTCTCTCTTGGGCTACTGCAGCCAATATGCTCTGATCCTCCTCAAGGTCAATGATCAGCCTGTCACACAACTGCAACAAAATATTGGTACTCTACATCTGAGCACATGCACAGCATCCCACTGCCTTTCTATTAAAAGAGGAATCCATGTCGTGTTTCTTTTGGCAGAATTTGACTGCAGCACTGCAAGATGGAGCAAGGCCATATTTTTGTATTTGAAGCATGTCCTGAAGCAAATAAAATCCTACCAGAGCTCAAGACCAGACTTAGTAGCCTGATCTGGAACATTAAGTAACATTTCTACAAATGTAGCAAAGAAGCAGAAAGTGTAGTTTTTTAAAACAAATTATCTGTGTTTCAAAATCCTAATCTAAGTACTTTTTTTAATGAAAGAAGCCAAAGATTCTTAACTATTTCTAAACACTATAAGCAACACTACTTCTGTAACAAAACTAGAAAGATCCAAATAAATTCTTCTGCTTATCACAAAGATATCAATTTATAAGGATCCTTTTCAGCTTCTGCCTCTGCATAATGCTCATAAAATAGTATTTGTGACAGGAGACACTGCAACTCTCATCACAAGCATAGCTGATTTTTTTATGTACAGCACTTAAATTCCACCAACTAGACCTTCAGCAAAACACATCCAAGGTCTGTTTGATTTGTCTCTCTGGGCTTAAAATACTTGCTCCAGGTTAGTTCCTTACACTTCCACATGATGCATTACTGCTTGGGTTTGTATCTGTTGAAAAGGCAAATTACAGCCACTTGAAGGAACATGCTTTTTAAAAAAACAACAAAAAAAAGCACTTGTATCGTTGTCATGCAAGCTAGATGCTGCTTCATAACTAATATTAAATAGCTCAAAGAAAAAAAAAAAATTGGTTTGTTTTACCTGTCGTATTTTAAGATTCGTCTCCCCATCGAGATTAGCTGTTTCAATATAGCACATGGCTTGTGGTTCACTGTAAGGAGTGTAAGATTTTCAATATTAAAACTCAGTACTTTTTTGTACACCACTTTTGCGCTAATACAGTCCACCACAGACTTCTTCAATGCACTGCCAAAGACAGAAAACTATACTGGCAGTGTACACCACAAAAGTTGAAGGTACATATTTAACAGACATGTCTTTGGATATGGTCATACAACAAACTACAGAGAAAGACAAGTCTAAATCAAAAATCAGTAAGAATTTAACAAGTCATTATAAACTTAGATGCTTAAAGTGGATTACTCTGAATTGCAATCCATTAAATTGCTTCCAATTTTAAGAGCTACAGATGAAAGAGCAAGTATTGAACAATATAAAAAGGGGATATGTTTGGATGAAGACAGCAATGCTCTCTGCTATTGAATTCTGTCTGTGAACTGAACACACAAAATCACTTTTGCAAGGTCCCCTTAATAAGGGAAGTACACCCAAAGTCACTGCTAAACACCTTTTTCAAGCATGAGAAAAAGGTTTGTTAGGATTGAAGGCTGTAACCTGCATCTTCCAGATGTGTTTCTGCCCTTAACAATAGGGACAAAAATCTTCCTCCTAGAACTGAACTTCCTATTAGTCAAGCTCTCACCTATATGTAACAGAGGAGCTCAGCCTAGGTGTGACAAGGAAGAGTACTTTTACTAGATCTTTTCCTGACATGCCACTCAAGATTCAAAACCTCTGTATAGCACCACCAAAACGATTTTTCTGCCCACTGTCTTCTCAGGCTGCTAAGGAATATCAGTTTCCCACCTGGACTCAAGCAAGTGCTTCTTCAGCATATCACTTCTCATACTCTTGATAAATGGCTATTTTTTTTCCAAAGTAATAAACTGTTCTAACAGCAAATGTACTCAATCAACAGAACAGTCAGGAACAAGGGCTCCTTAGGAAAACAATAATTAAGAAATGGACAGGTACATTTATAACACAGTAAGAAGCCAGATTATTCTCTCCAATAATTTTGCTTTGAAAAGAAAAAACGGTTGAGTCTATTCTTTGTCCCCTCCTACACAGTAAATTTGAATATGAACTCAAGAAAGACACTGATGAGAGTCCAGATTGATTGCAATTTTACCTCTGTCATACACCTTACCTAGGTGTATGCTAACTGAAGAGGTTAGCTCAGGAAGGAGACCTTTTGCAATACAATTCCTCTAATTTCCACAGAAATAGCATGAACTGTGGAAATGAGCAATGTGGACGTGTTTCCATGCAAAGTTGTGTTTGAATTAAAATATTTTTCCTTCGTGTTAATTCATTTTTTATGTAAAATTTGATGTCACCTTTTTGCTGAACAGGAAAAGAGAGCCAAGATAAAAACAACTGTCAATTTACCTCTGACAATCACCTCAGACACAGAAAAATCAACATATACAAGCAAAAGAATCCACCCCATTCAGAACATGCAGAGCTTTCTGGTGAACTGAGGACACTTAGTATTGACATTTAAAGGAATCATGGGAATAATACCAATTATAAAGCAGAACTGCCATAGAAATTGCTATTTATTTCAAGCAAAGTTTCTCCCAAATCAGCACGCTTTGGGTTAAATTTTCTATTTATTATGTGGTTATCAAAGACAGCAGGTTAGTAGAATACTGTAGAACAAAAAGCTGGCTCACACAATTGAGAAATAAGTCAGAAGGGGTTTTTAGTATAATACATTAGAGAAGTTCTTAAGTAAAAAATTCTTCAATGCTGAAACAAAATTATTGATGTCCAAGTTCAGCCTAACTGCATATTAAGTTGACAACCACTTATTTAAGGTTTGAGGCTTGTTTTGAGAAATACAATACTGTATACCATGGAATGGAGGTACCTCTCTCCTTCATCATGCAGTAATTCAAAAAGACTGAGCTTTAGGATAGAGCTTAGAAAAAATTGAAACCTCTCAGAAACAGTACAGACAAGAAGGATGGAGCAGAAAATACAGGAGCTTGAAAAAACCAAGTTCCCTTAAAAGCTGGATCACATAAGAGAACTGAATCCCTGAGACCAGAGGAATCTGCAGTCACCATTGAAAAGCACACACACAGGAGGGAATTATGGAGGTGTTGTAAGGTCTGGCTATTACAAGCATATTTATGAACAGGAGCTGTGCTGTTGTCTCTTGCTAACACCTCATCTGTCTAAGCAAACTGTGATTTTGATTCAGCCTCAAGTTGCTCTACAGATCCAGAACGTAGACTAGCAGTCAAGTAACACTCAAATGCTTTTAGGAACTATGAGACCTCAATAAACAAGAGGGCTGGGCAACTACCAACCATATGAAGTTTCACAAAGGCAAGTGCTGGATTCTCCACCTGGGACAGGACAACCCTGGATGCATGTACAGACTGGAGAATGGGATGAGGGAGAGTAGTCCCATGGAAAGGGACCTGAGGGTCCTGGTCAATGGCAAGTTCAACATGAGTCCACAGTGCCCTGGCAGCCAAGAGGGCAAAATGTGTCCTGGAGGGCATCAGGAATTTGTCCCATACTTGAAACAAAACCAAGAAGGACTCAACTGGTTACTGTCCCTCCCAAGCTAGAGATGGACCATACAAGAGCTGTATCCAAGAGAAGTAGTGAACAAATGAAGTTCAAAAGCTATTTTATTGTTTAATGCCAACAGAGCTCGCCTTTAGGATATACTATTTGAAAGAAAAATCTTCCTGGGGGAGCACAGGAAAATATGCTGAATACTCAGGGGAATTAACTGGAAGAAAACCTAAGCCTCCTTAATTAAGTGGAGGGATTCTCAGAAGGCCATAGAACCAGTGAATGCACGAAGCTCATGTTAAGGACCTTCAGTCTTCCAACAAACTCATCAATACAGAGTATTATGTACCTGCAATTCATAAAGTGAAGCCTTGAAGCACCTTGTTTTAGAAGAGCCTATCTACAATGATACATGAATCAAACCCTAGTAAAGCCATATTTTGTCATTGAATTTTGTTGAAATTTGATTTTAGATGTGGAATAGAATTAGTGCTATCTGATGTCTGGTTTTATTAATAGCAAATACAGAGATTCAAGTCCTCTGCACCTCAGTTCATCAGACACATCACTTCCACACCCATTCAGGATACCTGGTAGATATTATGATCATGTCTGCTGGAAGATGCTGCCCATTGGTGACCTTCACAATATCGCCTACTGCTACCTGTGGTGGCCAGGAGTACAGTAGCATGGAAGAGAAAAACAAACAGTTCGCTTGTCTGGAATGTTAGTTTGTTATTTTCTTTCACACAGTCAGAAAAGCAGCATCATGCACAGAACAGCTAGAGATAGTTTCTCTGAAAGTCAGAGTACTTTTCACTGCAAGTTTGGAAATATCAAAGCCTTCCCTTTTCTGAATGCAAAGTATAAAATTCTATAGAGAAAAAAGGTACACTCAGATAGATTAGATACACTCAATTAGAAATTGTGAACTTCTATGGCTTATATTTAATAAAAATTACTTTTTTTCTATAATTCTGCCATTATCCAAATTCAGAGGTTTTCTTTAGTCATATTTTTTCCCCTAGTAAGAATATTTAAACTTTACCTTCATCTTTAAACTTCCCCTTCATTAAGTATCAAGAGTTTTCTTCTATTCCTTACCTGGATTACTTGCCTACCCAATTATCACTATAATTTTCCCTCAATTCTCCTCAGATGCACTGCTTGTACTAATCACTAGCAAATAGTATCTCTATGAATCTTGTCCTTCCTTGACTGAGATATGCAGAGTTCTGAATTCTGGAATACTGTGTCTCCTCCTACACAGGCCTAAGACTTTCCAGCACCTTGAGTTAGTCACATATGCATGGGACTTTCATTCTCAAAAGAGTCAAGTAGCACTCTCAAAACAGTAAACCAGGTTTGCCCAATAAAGATGAAGTTGCTTAATGCCAATGCAGCACTGAGAGTCTGAAATGGGCTTAAAATACTTTCAAGATATTAATTTATAAAAATGGAAACAGATGGTATGTTTGAACAAGCAGATTCATTAGTTTTCTCAGATACCACTAAAATAATTTCCCTACCACTTTCAGCACAAAAAAAAAAAAGGAAAAAGTCAGAAGTCTGCCTTAAAGTGATCAAGGAGGATAATACAGAACTGTTATTCCTTAACCATAAATGCAAACCTGGACAACATGCAGTTACAGACACAAGTCAACTCAAGAAATGCCTAAGGGTATAAAAAACCCAGATTCCAGGCTTGACCTTAAACTTTCAATTCACTGTCCTTTCTACAAAAATAGGACTTGGAACAGCATAAACAGGAACCACATTAGCCATCTGAATCCCTGGCAATCTTGAGCTTCTACTGTAGCCTAACACTTCAGCAGGATAGCTTTTAGGTGTCTTGAGACTGATCTCATTCCTCAGAGGTTTAAAAGGGTGTACTTTTTCCTCAATTACTAGATAAGAGGGCTAATTTTATCCTTTAAAAGGCAGTAAGAGTCACAACTAGATCGATACATCCTAAGGCATTTCAGCAACTTCCAGGTCTGAGAAATAAAGCTCACCAGACCCTGGCCAAGGGCCTCATAGAACATGGGTCCCAAGTGCCTCAGGTAGCAGCAGGGCTGGTGTTTCTTACTTGAGCAAGCAGCTTACTAATTAGTCTCAAAGCCCAGGGACATTTTAGCACAGGCAGCAAAGTGAGCCTCTGTTAGACTTGCAGGGGAGGTACAGCATTGCAGTGAAAACTACTCTTCTAGGCAGACTAAAACCAAAATACTGTTTACAGTTTACCTATTAACTGCACAAGGAAAAACACAACAGTCCATTAGCATTTGACTGTAACACAGTACCAGGATTTAAAAATGTGCCAGGTGCCTTGCTCAGGGCAATTTTGACTACTGGAACAAAAAGGATCCATCCTCCCACCCCCCCCCCCCCAAGTTACAGAGAATTCTCATGTAGTATTAATTCTAAGCCTCCTAATTAATTCTGGCAAGAGTAATTCTTGAACACTTGTTTTCCCTCCCTCCCATCCTCAGGTTTTATTTACCTCTTTCCACATAATGTTCTGCCACATCCCATTTCTTAGAACTGGAAAGAAAGCTTAAAGTTAGATTACAGAAAAAATAGCCATAATTCAGACAAATTTCAAAATAACTGTATCAGCAGTAGCAAACACAATAGGAACCAACACAAAAATCAGAAATGTATTTTTCAGAAGCTGGAACTTCTTTTGTGCACAGCTGTGGGCATGTGAATCCAAGAAAGAGGAAGAATCTGCCCTTCATATTTTTATAATTTTTATCTCCTGCCAGACAACAGCTGGTGGCCTGATTTCTTCATGGCATCACTTCATACTAACATGCAGATGGGCAGCATTGTTTCTTGTTTAGGAAATTACCTTACTTAAAACAAAAGACCACTGCCCACTGTCAATCAGTATTAAGAAGGGCCTTTACTCTCTGTATGATTTACCACAGAATTTTCACTTCTCATCTTTTTCCTTGCATTTTATTAATAATGTTTTGACTCTGGCACACCCAACTTCACTACCATTACCCATGGCCCACATAAATCTGAGTCTTAACTGCCAAGCAGGCTCCAAGCCCTACTGAAAAGCAACAATCAGCTTTGGCAGACAGGGAATCCTTACTTCTGAAGTTCACATTGAAACAAGATAAAGAAAGCAAGGTACTAAAACAGACGTCAGTTTCTGTAGGGCTCAAATTCTACACTGACATCTTAACACAGTCACTAGTCATTTACCCTGTAGCATGCCTTTCCATCTAAGCACCTCCTCTAGGTGATTCTACACATACCTACGACTACTCCAGCCAAAACAGTAAGGTCAAATATGCCCAATTACTGCTGGATAACCCAGTCCAGTCCAGGTCCAAGCACAGCAAGTTCACCTTCACTGAAAGCAGCTGTAGCCAGTTTTCAAAGGTGTTTAAAAAGTGCACTGTGCAACATATCAGAGTTGAAGAGGTCAGTCCCCTACTTTTGAATATGAACAATCTTCTCAGCTCTATGCATCTCATACATGTGGCTCATTTGAAAATAATACCACACTCTCAGAAAAAAATTCTGCTGAGTACAGCCTTGACCACCCTACTGAGGATATACCACTCCACAAACAGGAATGCAAGACTTGTCAGAATAGATGAAGCAGAAGTCGTCTCTTGACTCCTGTTCTCAGGCCACACATACTGAAGCACTGAACCCTGCATTACTATTGCAGTGAATGGACTGCAATGAACTAAACTATTTAACAAAAAAAATGGGTGGGCAGCAACAGAAGTAGTGCCAGTGATGTGTCAAAAAAAGCTGAGCTTTCAACCAAACAAGTACAGTTTGGTTGAATAACAGCAGTTTAGGGGAATAACAGTTTTGGTGCACCCCTTCCATCCCTCATATACACTGCTGTTGAACTGAGCTCTGCTTAGTTCAGAACTCAGAAGCTTGAATGCAGAATCTCAAGGGGAATGTCAAATACTTGCAGCCTTGACTCAAAACTCAAACCTTCAGAGAGGAGTTGCAACACTCAGCATCTCCTGTGCCATAGTTCAGACAGCTCCCTACTCCACCAGAAAGTTTTGGAGACATTTCAGTAAACATTTTGTTGACATTGTTGTATGCTCACACACAAAGGTATTTTGCAGCATCAAGTGCTACAGACCTGATCTGGAAGGCAATTTACTTCAGAGAACAATTTCACTTGCAATGCTTACTGAAATCAATTTAGTGATTAAAATTAAATACCCAAGCAAATTACTGAAGCTATTTTCTTTTACTGAACTATTTCCTTTTAAACTCCTAATCCCACAGTCTAAAGAGAAAGCTGCCATTAGACATAAAACAGTTTAGAAATTCTGGGGTTGCAATTTCACACCTCCTACTCTGCTCAACCCAGTTTTATAGGAGTACTCCAAAGGACAGAAAAGGACATGTCTTCTCTAGAATATTTATAGTAGGATAAAATTGATGAATTATTCGTTGTCAAAAGGTACTTGGTTAAAGCAACAAAGGACAAGTACCTAAAAAGACTGTTTCAACTTAAAAAGAGTTTCAATATAAACCTTGTATCTAGGGCTTTCCAAGACCAAAACCCAGTTCTAGATCTAGGACTTAATGCTGACACTCACATCCAGTCATGCAGGGCCATTTGAAGTGAGGCTCCTGAAAGGGAAGCATCTCCCATCAGTCTTGTTCCAGAGTTTGCTAGCCCTGTGCTTGTCTAATATTTGAGTTCATCCCATGCAATATTAAATGCTCATTACTTATTCTATTATTTGAAAATGGGAGGATCAATACATCAGAAAAATTATTACTGAGCTCTCTGTATCTATGCAATACACTGCTAAGGGGCTTCACTTGGAATTATGTGGAGTCTGGTCTCTAGATTTAATGTCATCACCACAGACATCATGTGAAGCCATCCAAGACAAAAAACACTGGCTCAGAGCCTAAACACACTCCACCTCCTAATGCAAATGTTCAGTGCTCACCTGGGGCACAACTTCAATTTTAGTTTGTTCCAAAGGGAATTTAATTCCTACATCCCAAAGCCACTCTGCAAAGCAAACTGATGTTTTCTATGGTAAATTTAAAACAGGAAAAGCACTTTGAAGATACACAACTGCTCTAAAAACCTAAACAAGATAAACGCAAAGCCTACATGACTGCTGCTGCAGTAAGCAACCAGCCATTGCAGGCAGTGGAGTTCAGGACACAGCCAAGCAGACAGCAGGCATCTGCTTCTCAGTGAGCTCAAATACTCTCCACACTGAATGCATTGATTAGACACCACTCAGCGATAAGAGCAACCTAAAGCCACACAGAGAACCTAAATTTATTTCATCTTAATCCCACTCTGAACCCAAGTTATCTTTTCACTCTGGTAATACGTGTCTCAAGAATAAGCCTCTTTAGCCTTCCTCTTAAGAAGTAGGAGGATACAGTTTTAAGTATCAGACTGAAAATTTATTTAGAGTATTCAAAGGTAAAAAATAAAATCTGAACTCAAATAATTTTTGAAGTGCTAAGTTCCACTTAGCTCCATTAGAACACCTTGTGTTCTGTAAGGATGTCTCTCCACAATTACTGTGACAAATGTCCCTTGAAGTGTTTGTTGGCACACATTCTCTACCTACAAATGAATTCTAACTGCCTCTACGACCTCTGAAAGGACCATGTTTCATGTTACCCATAACAAGGCCTGTTGTGCTACAGCCACTTAATTGCCAATTGCTTATGACTAATACAGTGTTCTTGCACTCAAAATATCTTCTCAGATCTTGTAAAAACATTACCTAGGAGAACTGATAAAGCAATTTCTTTTGATGTGTATTAATAAACAATCTTAATGATCAACCCAAATTTTCAAGCACCAAACTCAGTGAAAAAAACAGGCATAATGTTTGCAGGACTATCTGAAGCATGGAGCTAGCAGGTTGCTCACTTCCCCATGCTCCTTTAAGTGTTCCTCTAGCTTTTTGACACTTCAGGTACTTGTGCTTGGGAGGAAGGGGCTCTTCTTGGAGCTCAAGTCCCTCTGTTCCCATTTCACCTGCACATTTGCACAGAGAAGGAGAAGTGGAGCTGTCCAACATGGGAACATGGAGTTGCCTCGACTACAGCACACGACAATCACAGGGTGGCCATTGACAAGTTCTTCCTATTTTCTGCACAGGTTTTCAGTTAAGGGAGAGGAAGAAAATGACAGTGATGTCTTCAGGCATACAGTGACAAGTACTGTCCATACCTCAGGGATACATGTAAGCATTCAGTGGATATCACTGTTAAATTCTCTTTTGGTGACACTTCAGGAAAGCAAAACTAAAAAATCCCCAGACTTACTATATTTAAAGGGCAGCAGCATTTCCAAAAATGACTTTAAATTCTTCTGACAGCAGCTTTTAACATTTCAGGGGGAGGTTGTTGGCTTTTTTAGTTCGGGATGTTTTGGTGTCAAAATAATCAGGATGGAGTTTGGTAAGGAAAAAAAATTGCTTGGTTTTCTTGGAGGAGCTGAGAACTATGTAACTTTGGACAACCTTGAAATTACATGAACTTATAAATTCCAGTAATCCTCCCAATGCCTCACCCTTAAGTGTCAGGCCATCAATCATCAGTCTGAAACCTTCAGCCAAGTAAAATCCTAAATTAGTGGTAAGTAACTAGCGCACAAGATAGGCATTCCTCACCACGATGACCATTAAAGCAACAGAATTGCTCAAAAGTAAGCATTCACTATTTGCATTTTAAATACTTCAAGATTGTTTAGTCTTACCTACTGTTTTCTTTTTATTCACTGCACTGTCTGCCTTATGCCTTTTCTGTAAGGAAACAACACATTTCATTACACCTCATTACACTTCATCACAAATTTGAGAACGATTAGAGCTAAAAATACAACAAACTGCAAGATGATACATTGGGTTCTTTTTGCCTTTACAGGGGTTTTTTTTCTGTTTTTTTAAAAAGTCACAGATCATCTAAATTCAAATGGTTTGTAAAAAAGTATAAAGAATATAATTATAAACTTCAAAGTGAAAGTCACCGTGTTGGAAGTCAGGCTGAAACCTTCATCAGTGGTAAAAAAACAAAGTCTCCAAAGGTGAGTTTTTTTGAAGAACAAAAGGAACAATAAGGACCACAATATTTAGATAAATATCCACGTGCATAAATTCCACATGCTGTTGTTTAGACTGATATCCAAATCAGTCAAGTACTCATCAGTACTTTGCAAAGCAGAAAGACCTTGTTCTGATGTAAAGTATACAAGCAAGTTAGAGCAGATTTTCCCCAAAACAGTCTTCTCTGTTCTTAAGCTGCTTGCCTCCCCCCAACTCCCATTTTCAAGACCATCTGAAAAGGTCACATATTTGTCAGGATTCTACACTGTCTTTCTAATAAAAGCATTAATAAGCTAGCTTGAAGACGGAGAAACAAATGTCCTAATTTCTGTTTTCTTGTTCACCAACTATAATGAAAATACTTATTGATTTCAGTGTATTTTCAGTATTTATTAAAAAAATTCAAGTCAAGCACTTTGAAAGTCAAAACAATATTTTGCTGCTGTTGAGCAATGACTCAAGAGACTTCAGAGATGCATGGCTTTGTGGCATTTTATAGCTTTTGAGACACTTGGTTTTTAGCACAGCCTTCCCCATCATACTCATCCCCATACTCATCAATCATACTCACATAGTCTTCTATGATTTCTTTGATGCCAGCAACTGTTAAAATAAATAGCAATGGCACCAAGGTGGTATATCTTCCTGTTGGAGAGACATCTGGAATTTGCTGTGAACAGAGGGAAAAGAGACCCTATATAAGAGACCCCTTTTGTATTTGTATTTAAAATTAATTTCTGATACATTTAGAATTTTATGCAAAGCTCTCAGAAGAAGAACACAAAGCTCTCTGATTTACTGTGTGATCTGTGCCTCACAGATATACCATTTCAGTGGGCAAACTAGCCTACAGTCAAGTAGGTCTGAAGAAACAGTAACAGAGTTGCAAGATACTGGTTTGGTACATGCCTTTCATTGTATTTCTCCTCTCTTTACAAGAAAATTATACTGTTTTACATGGAAGCAGTGATAATCTGAACTAACTAAGCAGAAGTTCCACAAAAAAGTCATACGTTCTTTTCTCACAATGGTCAATAGCTCCGTGTTTTATGACACCATTTATTTTTACTTACTAAGAATAAAAGAGGTTTGACTTTACCAACTACATGGAAAGAAGTCTCCAAGCTGTCTTCCAATTTCAATTAGCAACTACATATCCCATTAATATTACTATTAAAGTAAATTTAAGAATAACTTTGCAGTTAAGCATAACAACAGAAATAACTTTTACTACATTACCATTTCATTTTATAAACAAGGGGAAGTAATAAAACAATACCTGCAGTAAGGCAATGAAGAGGAAGAATGCATTTGCAGCTTTTCTTATCTGCTCATACAGGAATCGAGGTAGAAATGTCACCACGCTGTACTTGGCTGTGCTGCAGGGTAGAAGATTTTCATCTTAGTACTTCATCAGAATATCAGGTGGGGATCATGACCAAAAAAGCCCAAAAGCCAGTGCTAGAAAGCAGTTCAAAGATAACAAAGTAAAGACATATTTAGAATATGGAGGAAGTAGTTGCTTTGGTTATGATAAGGAGCTGTACCAAACAAAAAAGGTATCACACAGACCCAGAAGGCTTGTCAGGCCCACTTCTATCACTGGTACCTTTGTTATTAGATGAACTATCAGACAATTTAACACCATCCAAACTTCATCACTGTGAACAGACAAGCTTTCATTTCAGTTCCAAGCGCTTACCTCTCAATTTAAATGTTGGGGGAGGCAGAGATGAATGAGAGAAATTAGAAATTTTGCAAGGTATTTTTAAAATGTCTCATTTCCTACCTCAGAATAACTTACACTCAGCTATGAATAATACTCCAGAACAATATACACTTATTCAGATTAATGGCTCTTAGCATTTTTCCTATTATATATATACATCTAAATACTGTAACTAACATATATATGTAACTGAATTATAACTACTTTTCTTCCTCCTTAAAACAAAAACATATTGGACTAGCAAGCCTTAATCACCTATGTAATTTCTTGTCATCTTCACATCAAATCTATAATGGGCATGAGTAACACTGCAGGAAAAAAGTGTCAAAGTTGACACAATAATTTAACCATTAGAACCTTCACCTTCTGAACTACTGGCCATCAGCATGAGTTGGAGTTTTGACAATTGAGCACCTGCAGCTCAGTATGCCTTGCAAAGGCACAACAAGCAAAACCAGACATTTTGAGACATCATTTTGTTTGGGTGCTGTGGTTTTGGTTTCATTTTCAGTGGTTTTTTTGTTTGTGCTTTGTTCCAGTTTGGGTTGTTTTGCTTTGGTTTTTTAATAAGTCTTGTATTTCCAAGGAACTGAGAACACTAAGATACTTGGCTCTCAAGAAAAAAGAAAAATTGTTTCCCAATTCCTGTTTTACTGATGTTTCCTAGCAGTGCCAAGACCACCTCTCCATTAAGTCTATTTTCCAGCTTATTCCTTTAACCACCTTCGTTTCCTTCTTATCTGCCCAGTCCAAAACTCCAAGCCATCTAACCAGACACTGCTGCATCTTTCAAAATCAAACAGTAACTGGAAATAACAAGGCACATCCTGTTTTAAAAAGCTCTATTTTGAACACTAAAGGAAAATTAGTGGGGCAATAAAAAAAAAAAAAAAACAATTAAAAAAATTAAGATGAATCTTGTCTTAGGAACTTGCCTTGTTTCCTCTTCAACTAACTACAAATCCATTTCTATTGCTACTACCAGAATTAAGTATTTAAATACTCAACATAATATTTTACAGAAATTTCAAATGGTTGTATTTAATCATGGCTCATATCTACCAAGCCAAATGAGTGAAATCATATATCCAGGTTTAAAGCAAGTCTTGTCTTTATATAAATAAAGTTACTTCCTTCAAATGCTGTTAAATCCTTCCAGCTCTAAGTATTTCTTTTGTTTTAAGCCACATTTGCTTGGTCTCATGTGTAATAACCTTCCTTTAATACAGAACATAATTAAACACACATCTCAGAATTATGCTGTGACTTAAAATGATGGGTTAATCAAGTTCACAGTTCAGACCCAGAAGCAATATCTCCAAGCAGCACTAATTAGACATCAAGCAACAGCAGATTTTATATGAGAACAGTATTCCTCTAGGTATCACATTGCTATGATTATAAGAACACAAGAATTTGACTGCAACCAAGCTGAAACATTTATTAACACCATTCTACCACCTACCAACTTCACAGCTAGCTGGCTCAAACATGATTCTTACTCTAACAATTATGTTAATGCCAACACAATAAGGCTCTTTTGAGAGAGGTTTGTACATAGTAAGTCACTCCATGTATTCTGTCGCTTAAGTAACTTGACAGATGCCCACAGAAAATGGGTACAGCTCTAATTAGAAGCAGGCACAGTCAGCTGTTACCATACAGGTCAGAACAGCAACCACTAGTATGAATAAAGAGCAGATACATGTTATTATTCCAAAAGAAAACTTCTTACAGAAACCCAACTAGCAGTCTAAGCTGGGCAGGAGCATGCAACTGACTTAGCTCTGAAGAGCAGTTCTTTAAATGATAAACACAATGCTTATTTTTAAATAACAAAAACCTCTTGTGCTCCTTCACAACATATAGATATGTTACAACTTCAGGATAACCAAAGCTCAGGAAAGTTAAAATCTATAGATGAACAGGTAGAAACTTCAGTCATCTCACTCATAGCACAGTTTTGGTCACTAAAAATAGAAAACTGGCAGGTTAGCTCTCTGACCAGCCCCAGTCAGAGCCATGTTAACTCAGAGAATACAAGGCCTGCAGCTCACAGAACAGGTTGAGGCAGGGAGAGGAGGGAAGCGCAAGGGGAAAAACAAACAACATACTGGTTTCTCCTAAAGCAACAGCTGTTACCTATGCAAATCTCGCTTAACTACACAAGTTCAAATGTTGAACAGGTGTGCAAACATTAGAAGAGATGTCTCCTACACACCTGCAAGTTAATTCACATAAGTGATGTTTCAAGTTACACCACTGTGCAAGACAGGAGGAACAATACCAAACCCTGCTAGACAAGTGAATTTGGACACACCTGACTACAGCTGGCTCTGGCCCCACTGTTCCTAAGGCAGTGCAGAGATTTTTTTCAAATCAATTGCTGTATAATTTGCAAAATATTAGTGTCATTCACATACTTTAACTCATTACCATATTACTCAAGTACCAAGGATTACCTAGTAATTTCTATAACAGTCAACTCAAAAGTAGCAAACGGTGCACTGAGAAACTCAGTAGCAGTTCAGTACAGTTCCCCTATTTATTCATATGTAACTTTTGCACAACCACTCCCATTGTTGCCTTTTCCCCTGTTTCCCAAAAACATTTCATAAAGTCAGGTTTTACTTTACTGACTAATGGTTGAAGAGGCAAAGGCTGTCAGTAATACAGGCAGAGCAGTTACTCTCTTGAAACATGTGTATGCTGGCAATATGCAGCTGAACACAGTCTGCACTGTTCCAGTCAGCCATCTAAAGCACTTCCACCCTTCCTTTAAAACGGCAACTCTGAGATGAACTTGCCCTTCAGGATAATCAGGATTAAAAAAACAGAACCTCCTTGAGATACATGGGGTCCCATTTCCAGGGGTCACAAGTACAACAAACTATCCTTTCCTAGACAGCATTCACACATACCTACTCATGCCACAGTTCACATACTTGAAATACTCTCCAAGAGCTGAAGAATGAGTATCACTTGATGTCAGTGCTTTTAACACACATCAATTTGCAGGAACAATTACTAAGAAAGCCAGGCACAGACACCTGAACCACAGCAACAGGGCTGGGTAATTAAAGTGAACGTTACAGACTTGAACCCTTCTCTCACCAACAGGCTTTGTGTCCATCAACACGTACAAAAGGTCAGACACCCAGTAAAAGAGAAGGAAAAGAAAAACCCCAGAAAACCCAAGCTGATGAGCTTGATTGTAGAGCTCAAACAGTGTCTTTAGTGGGATGGTGTTTGCATGCTGAGGTCCTGCCAGGCACACGACACTTAATAGCAAAACTGACATCAGCATCTCAGGTTCTGCTAAAGCTCTCATGTACAGAGGTACCATGACAAGCCAGCTCCAGGCAGTCATCACTGCAGAAGGAGGCACAGCAGCAAGCTCTACATATTTCAAGAGACACTAACAAAACAAACAACATTCAGCTATTACACTGAGTACAGAGAGCGCACATTTATAGGTACATCTCATCAACAAGGTGCTGCCATGTAGAATACTGAGGAGGTTGTTCTAAACCCAAGTGTCACGAACAAGGTTTTCAGCAGTTGTGTGCATATGACAGTGAAAGGTCATCTACCTCCCTTGCACATAGGGAAGATGGTGTATTTTCCTCAAACTTGCTAGAGAGACAAAAATCAACTGTTTACAAGTTCCCAAAAAATATATCATGAGGGCTTATAAGAAGAAATTACTCATATGCCTATGAAATGATTATTGGTTGACTGAAAATTAGGTCCTAGATAGCCTGGTTTTATAATAATAGGGAGCCTGAACAAATGCAGGCCCCAATTCAATTGAAGGGCCTTGCCCTGTCAGATGAATCCTTGAGACTACAGTTCTTACAGAGGAAGGTCCAGCCAGAAAGGGTTTCACTGCTCTGTTTATGGCTGTACACTTCTAGCAGCCAAGAAAAGCACATGTGGTGCTTAAATACCTGAGACAGTCCCTGAGCTCGGGGCATAACAGAGGAGCATGAAAGAAGTAGGACTTGCTCTTACAGAGCAAAAAGTGCAACAACTTGAATATTGCAAGACATTATTGCTTAAAGCTTGCCAGACCAAGACAAAAAAAAAAGTCAAGAATTACCACACTATATCTGTCACTCAGGTCTGGAACAACCACTGTCCACAGTCCAAGTGCCTATTTTGTTTCCATCTTTCCCTGCACTCTGCTACAGTTCCTCCATAATACCAAAGGTATTTTATATATACAAATTCATTTATTGTCAAAAGAGGAAATGGGTGTAAGGTACATTCTTGTGCTTAGCCACTGAAACATCAAACCCTGAAAGATTTCCCAAAAAAGCCACAGTGAAGCTGTAGAAGATGCATCTGTTCTCTGAAATTATCCACACAGACAATGAAATTGATTGAGAGTATTCAAATGTATTAGAATTAATCAATTTCAACTTTGACTGAAAACAATTCTAGCAGCTTCCAGCTGAAGAAGACTTATCAGTGGGATAGTAGTCATCTCAAGCACCTCACCACTTCCCCATATTCCTTATTTCTTTATTTATAGTATGGGCTCCCACCAGAAGTAACTAAAGGCATCACTGTTTGGAAAACACCACCTCCCCTTGTTTGTTACAGGTGGAGCTGATCACATCTCAGAATCCCTGAGCCCTCTTTCCT